GCTCGGCTGCACGGCCCGGCGCCGGCGGTCAGGGGCGGACACACGGGGGCGCACGGGTCGGCCGCGCCGGCGCGTGCGCACGCACGCCCCGCCGGCGGGCCGGCGCCACCGGACAGACCCGGCCAGCCGAACATCAGCGACGGGGCGTTTCCAGTGGGGTTACCTGGCCGTGGCCGGCGGCCGCGGCGAGTGTCCCGCGCCGTGGTGTCCACTGCGGCCGGTTGCGTGCCGCACCACGCCCAAAATACACTACACATTGTACTACGCTTGGCAAATTACGGAGTGTTGAGCACAGATACAGCACGCAGCCGATGGTGAGGGCGCATCGCTTCGCGTCACGGTGCAACGTTACAGCGCAACGTAACGCGTTACAGCGCAACGTAACGGCCGCAATATAACAGTCAAACCACATCAGGGCAGAATACCATGAAACCTGCTATGGTACGCTATGTGGGCGAGCCACTTCAAATAGGGTGGGGCAATCGTTGTACTGGATGTGTTACATTAAAACGCGATGATTTAAACCACATGAGGTGGAAAGCGGGACGTATCACCGACCGCCCGGCCAGGGCCCGCAGCTGAAAGCCCGATATCACAGACAGGAAAACACTACTACGGCTTCCGGTCGCTCCCTCGCGCACGCATGCCGACCTGCAGACACATCTGGAATGACTGAACACGACGGCGACTGCAGTGATATGGCCCGAGAAAAAAATAGTGGATTACAGCCACTCTCATGGCATATTGGCACAGCATGGCACGTCATATTCGGCTATGGGCTCCAATCGGATGAAGTGGACCAAAGTCACAGCTCGGGTGAGGAGGTCGTCGATCATGCTCAATGCACATGTCCATACAAAAAACATCTACGACTACCCTTTCAGCCGTGCGTAGTTGAGATTTGGTTCATGCAATCATGCGTGAGGGTGGCGGACACACGCGGCAGTCCACGACAAGCACAAAATCTCGCCGGCTCGCCACGAAATAGCACGCACCTAAGCTGGACCAACGCAACGCCGGCCGAATATCCCCAACTAATCCGCAAACAAGGCATAACCGGTAACACGAGCACACCATTTCAAACGGCCCCATCGACTTCGCATGGTCCCTGTAGGAGCGCGACGCACAACGAAAAACGTGAGCATACAAATCACCGGCGGGGGCGCGACTATAAATAACCGTCCCAAACGTCTTGCTGGGTGGGTGGAACTGGCCGAGACAACGCGTCCACCAAGGCGCTCCTGCCGCCGCCCCAACGGCGCTTCACAACCACCCGGTCACAGACGGGCCATTCCACGACAGATCGATCAGAGGATGACGCGGCGTCCCCTTCAAATTTGACGAAAACACGGCTGTAGATTATACCGCCAAGGCACCATTCTAGAAGCTTTGGAACCTTACGGCATGCCGATAAGGAAATGGAAGCTGATGAAAATATGCGATGACGTCGCGACAATAATTTTCAACATGTTCTGACGAATAGAGTTTGCGGAGTATAAGGTCGGAGAAAAGCGCATCACAAATATTATATCTATATTGTTCTAAATCATGGATCAGTATAACATTCAAGGCAAACTATGTCAATACACATACATTCATATATATATATATATATATATATATATATATATGACTTAGCTTGATCTTTTATCTCATTTTACGAAGACACGTGGTGCCTTCGATTTTTTTAAACACCGATATGCCATCAAATACCAACACTCGCCACGTATCACCGTTCAGATTAAACAAAGAAATTGATCGAATCTTTTCTAGATCCGTTGCAAATCAAATTTGGACATTGGGGGCATCACGCACGGTGGCCACCATGACTCGAGCGGCCGGTATCGGGTGGCCCGCGAACTTGACCTCGACACCAACCGGGACTAACAATGTGTAAATGAAGAACGCATTGTGATCGAACTCTCGCACCTGTCGTCCATCCCGAGTCATGTGGAAAGAGAACCGAATTGTATTTCAACGGCATGGTGTGCAGCCATAAATCACCAGCTCTAAACTCGTCGTTAATAGCGGGTTATGCTCCTGATCATTTGCTTAAGCTAGTGATGTGAATACAAAAGAGGCTAACGTAGGCAGGTTCAAATCTTGGGCTGTTTGTTCCGCGCCGTAGGCTTTGTACAACTGAGTCGTAATAAATGTCTCGCGCTGCCTTCATCCTCCACAGGATTACTTTGAATGCAAGTTGTTCAGTGCATTAGCGAGGAACATTAGTCACATAGATAAGACAGAAGTATTAGCCTTATTCCTCGGAAAAACCAGGAGAATAAAGATAAAGTTGGGCTGGTATTCCGGCACCATGTCGTTCTCGAAACCATAGCAGAAAAGCTTCACCCATGTCTTTCGCTTCTTTCTTTAGCCAGATGTCTTATGGAATGGCAATATTTGAAATGACGTTATTATGGCGCCACGGATGCCAAGGTAGCTTTGAAATATTTTCCCCGATATACCCTTCCCATGTTTGCGGGGTGCGGCTCAGAAACTAGACGGACTTAGATCTTAAGGAGGGCGGGATTGCGAACAGCATCGAACAATTTCAAGATGACTATTTCAGTGATGATGCCCTGTGCAATGACTGGCCTTTGAAGTGTGTATACGTTTCCCCAGAGCGCGCGACCGATGTTTGGTGCATGTATATGTCGCATGAGTTTAGACTACGCTGCATGTTTAGCATTCTGCGGGATTGCACACATCATGGTGTTGGGATATTGGTTGGGGTTATATTTCAGGACGTGACACAAAGTTAGTGAAACACGATCCGCTCTATAAGGTTATTCGCGATGCGTTACTAGCCGCTGCGCACTTGGTTGACGGCGCTGCTGCCAACTAATGAGCGTTGTTGCCCTGCTATCATTTTTTTTGTTGGTAAAGGGGGATATTGTAACGGCTAGTTCCCACTCTCGTTCTTTGCACGTCGCCTCGCTTCGTCGCTGTTATGTTCGTCGGTGCCCGTTACCCGTTTACGAGTTTTACCTTGTTCTTCACTTCGTAGTTCACGCTATTAATCACTTCATAGAGAACCTGAACTGTCGTGCATCATAAAACATTTCTGTAGTCTCGTTAAGCCCGTACAATAGATATGTGCAGTCATTGTGATATGCAGTGGAACGTTCTGGAGCGCGCCCATGCGAGATCAGAGGTCGCCGGGCAACGGCCCCGGTGTATACAAGCTGACGCACACTGCATGCCAGCAGGCGAGGTCCGACCACGACCAGGTCTGCACTGCTAACACAGGGCGAGCGAGTCCGATTGTCTTGCGGCCAAATGAAGGTAAACCTCTTACTTGTCTTTGCAATAGACAGGGAGAACAAGAACGTCGATCCACCAACTGACGCGTTACATTGGTGCCTCAGACCCGGATCCACTGGACCAAGCGGGTCTTCAACGCTGAACGGACTGCTCGCCTCCAACCAAGGTACGGCAATTGAAATATAGGTCCCGGTCCATTCGATTCATATAAGTCGCTAGATCAAGAGAAAGAAACTTAATTACTTGGCTTTCGGCACCCGCACCTGTTGGAAGATCTTGGCGAACAAATTCGCCACTGATCAAGGCGACATTCTGAAAAACCCTGTCCGTGACATTGTCCTCATCTGGAGAACGGAAGAAAGAAACGAAAGCACTTCTGCGCTGGTCACAATCTAAACAAGCGCGACTTCCGTTTGTTGTGTGGCACTTGCCATACACGCAACTGCAATCATATCGCCAACTCCTGTTCCGTCTATCACTGCTGCTCCAGTCTCCCTTGTCCAGAACGTTGTTGTGGCTTTATCCCCGCTTGTCCCTGAACAGTAGAAAACAAATAATACAACTTCAGACCAGCTGATCTCTTCTCAAGTTGAGCCCCAATCCAGCTCTTTATATATATATATATATATATATATATACATACATATATATATATATATATATATATATATATATATATATATATATATATATATATATATATATAGCTCATCGATGTGTTGTGAGGACTACGAGCACACGACGTTGCCATCTACGCGACTCTTGAGGGACGATAGGTACGCAAGGCCGAGTAGCACGCACTCGTCATTCAGACATTGTTTTGGAGTCACAGAATAATTTCAAAGTGACTGGTTTTAGGTAGAAATGCATTGTTTCAAGGCTCATGACGTGTCACCGCGCGTGACACGCCAAAGCTAAAACTCGATTTACAACCGGCCTAGATATCTTTCTAATCGGTGAATAAATTTTAATCGATCTCTTTTTAATTTGAACCGCGATAAATTGGTCCTCAATTGCATAATGGTTTAAAGAAAACCGAAGGAAAAATGTATTGAGAAAATGAGGTCAAATGTCAAATCAGGTTACTATATGCAGCTAGTTGACCCTGAATGCAATATTTACCCATTTTCCGGAAAAGTATAGGCATTTAGGTTTCCGATGGGCTATTCCCAGACAGTGTACACAGCAGACCGTTTTCGCTACATGAAGTTAAAAAACAGGTTTCGTGACGTCATCGCGCATTTTCATCTGCTCCTGGTTCCTTAACGGTACGCCATACCGCTCTAACACTTGCTGAATCGTGTTTTGGGCGTGTAATTACCCCTGTACAGATTGCCGTTGGCAATCGGCAAACCATTTGACGGCAAACAATTTGACGTACGTTCAAACTTGAAAGGTTGCGCCGTGTTGACATGTAACTATCCGCGACCGATTTGCCGTAGATTGACCCAAATGTCAGAGACCACTGGGCCAAAGCTTCCTGCCAGCTACCTGAGACAAGCACGATACGATACCGATTATATGATATGTGACGTGATATGATACACGATACCCATATGAGGCTTTCGTTATAAACCCTGCCATCACTCCAGCTACGCGGCTGGCTATCGCAGGTACGCCATATTAAATTTGTACGCGTACTCGAGGTGCGCTCAACAAAACGCTCGTGACTAGACGCCGAGTACACCACTTCCGTGGGCGAGACTCGCAGCCAATGAGGGTCGTTGATGGCGACGTCAATAGCTGATTGGCAGCTCGCTGGGCAGCTCACCTCCGCCGCCAGCAGTGCCGCCATCTCGTGAGTGTCGCTTGAGGCGCAGCTTGCGGCGGCTGACACCAGAGTCGGTCGACTTGGCCACTGCCGCCGCTCCTGACGCTGACTTGCCGCCACCCAGCCGGGAGAACACGGACGAGGCGGGGCGGCCGCCGCTACTGCCATCTGTCGTGAACAACGGAAAACAATGTCACAAACGCGGCAGCTGCAATATCAGCATCAGCGCCAAAACAGCTTGCAGGTGACAGGTCTGAAATATTCGATGGTATAGTTTCCTACTCCTACGTGTGCGTGCGTGTGTGGGCGTGCGTGCATTTAGATACGTGGAGTGTGTGCGTGTGGGGACTTTAATCTGCCAACCTTGATACGAAAGCGGGTCAAACTAGCGGGGGGGGGGGGGGACTCTAATCTATCAATCTTGGTAACAAAGTGGGTCGAACGAGGGGACAAAACCCATTCATTTTTATGCATTCTGGGCAATGTTTTATCACTCATCCCCGCTCAGTGCACCCGTGTTACGTCGTGAAACTCGACCACAACTGACATTTTCAGCAGACAAGATCCGACTCTTTCGCGAGACACCCCACAAACACACCGGTCAGTCCGGTTCGGAGGCTGCCCGTCCGCCTCTCTGTACGCTGGGCAGTCCGACGTACTGCAAACAAGATCATCCGCAAGACGACAGCGGACCGACTGCGGGCGACGCTGGCAACATCCCGGGGGCGAGCGCGGCCAGCGGTCAGCGGCCGCCGCCTGCGCCGGCCGGCGTCTGCGGGTCACGAGGCCCGGCGGCGCCTCACCTGGCTGCGCCGCGCCGGCCGGCTCGGCCACCACCACCACGCGGCGGCCGTCTCGCAGCTCGCGGCGCCGCCTCTTGTCCCGGCGCCGGTGCCGCCGCTCCTCGTCCCCGTCCGCGTCCGCGTCCGTGGCGGCGGCGGCGGCGGCGGCGGCGGCGGTAACGGCGCGGTCCATTCGGCCGCGGCCCTCCGAGCCTGCCGCAGCGGCGCGCCGTCCGTCAGCGGGGGGTAGGGCGGGGGCGAGGGCGGCGGAGCGGCTCGCCGTGCCGTGCGAGGCAGCTGATGACGACGAACAACATCCCTGACATAGGCCAGCTCCGGACCACACCACTCTGGACGCATATTACGTGCTCGAGTGAAGAGCCACACAACGGGCGTCAGCCTCCAGGAGCGTTGCTGGTAGAGGTAAGGTCACACCATTATCATCAGCAAAATGAGACCGTCATCTGTGTCCCACCTTATCACACACGACCATCTCCTTCTGGCGGCTGCAATGGGGTCATTTTTCATCTAACCTTCCGCCATCGGTGTCTGTTTTCACTTGCCTGTTTTTTTGCCATCCCACATCGCCATCACTCATCGCCGACTTCTTTCACATTCAAAACATCTTCCCCCCCTCCCCCCCCCCCCCCTCCCGCTCCCAGCTCAGGCCCTCCCTTTAAACCGGAGGGCCGAAGCCGGCCGGCCGGAGCGCACTCGGCGGCCGCTGAGCAGGCCGCCGCTGCTCACCTGAGGTGGCTGCCGGCCGGCGCAGGACCGGGCCCGTGGCGGTCGCCGGCAGCGGCTCCTCCAGCTCGGCCACCAGCGACAGCAGCTCCTCGTCAACGCTGAGCTCAAGCGCGTCGGCGTCGGCAGGTGGAGGGCTCTCAGAGCGTCGCTGCACGGGGGGCGCGGATCAGGTCCAGGCAGGTCAGCGGGTCCGCAGGTCACGGCATCACTCTAGATCACAGGGCTCGTTCACCAGGTCACAGGGTCAGGTCAGTGAGTCACCGGGCCCGTTCACCAGGTCACAGCGTCAGGTCAGCAGGTCACAGAGTCCGCTCACCAGGTCATAGGGTCAGGTCAGTAGACCACAGGATCACCAGGTCGCAGGGTCAGTTTAGCAGGTTACATGAAAAGGTCATCATGGCACATGATCAGTTCAACCGGTCACAAGGTCAGTCCAGCAGGTCACGGTCAGGTCAGCAGGTCATAGGGTCAGTTCAGCAGGTCAAAGGGTCAGTCCAGGTCACAGAATCAGGTCAGCAGGTCGCATGATGAGGACGGCACACGGGTCCAGTCAATTAATCATGGCATTAGCAGAACACGGCATCTGGGCAGCACACGGTGGCAGCGCCCGGAAGACATGTTGTCGGGTCTAGTCCGCAGCAGGCACCGACAGCGGCACGACAGCCTCATCTCACGTGCCGTCCCGGTCCACTCACCTGCGCCGCCGGAGGGGCCGGCTCGACGGACGGGCCCCGCAGCCGGATCGTCTTGGGCTGGCCCACCACCGGCCGGTTGCGCTCGAACTTCTGGCGGCGGCGCATCACCCGCTCGCGGTCCGGGCTGGGCAGCCTGCGCACGATAACCCGGCGGTGACGACACTGCGCTCGGAAGCTAGAGGTCTGGGTTCAATTCTCGTCGAAGGGAATTTTTACTACCGACGGTTTCCACGATATAACTTTTACTACCCAGGGTTTCCCTGTTAGAATTTTTACTACCTACGGTTTCCATGCGCCCCGGCAACCGCAGGGGTCAACACGCCGTTCGACCATCATTCGATCGTGGCACTGGGTCACCATCGCGCCGGGAACACAGCAGGGCCCAGGCCAACGTAGGGGAACGGGCAAACCCACATGTCTGATGGCCGGGTAGGATCGGTGGACTGGGGACTTCCTACTAGGCGCTCATGGCCCAAGTGAAACAATTCAGATTAGTCACCCTCAGCTAAACCAGAAACAAAGACGTTGAGGCCTTCAGCCTGAGGTCAGGAAGCGCTCTAACAATATTGAAGCCTCACATTGCGACAAAATCCATCGCAGTTTTGTGCCAATCAAGCAAGTCTGGACTTTGTTCGCCCATTTAAGTCATCTGACACAGCCCGCTCGGTCCTTACAGCACACGTCGCTGGTCTCACCTTTTCAGCCGTTCCTCGAACTCGGCTTGCCTCTTGGCCTCCTCTTCTTCCTTGCGCTTCAGGTCGGCCTCGCGCCGCAGCCTCGCCTCTTCCTGCTGCTTCCTCTCTTCCTCCTGCCTCCGCCTCTCTTCCGACCGCCTCTTCTCGTCCTCCCGTCCTCCCGTCCTGCGCTCCTCCTCCGGTCTCCTGGCCTCGTCGCGCCGCCTCCTCTCGTCGTCCGGTCTGGCCGGCTCATCGGCCCTCCTGCGGTCGTCGCCGGCGCCGGTGCGCTGCCGGTCGGCGTCCTCACGCTGCCGGCGGCGCCACGCCTCCAGCTGGCGCTCCTCCCAGAGGCGGCGCGTGGCGCCGCGGGCCCGGCGCGGTGGCGGCGCGCCGGCCGGCCGCCGCGGCGAGGCGCTGCGCCGCCGCGGCGCCGGCGCCGGCGACGGACTGCGGCGGCCAGCGCGCGGCGCGGGCCCGCCGCCCTGCAGCACACGCGGCCAGGTCAGACGGCCGGCAGACGGATGGCACGCGGCGGCTGACCAGCGACAGGTGGCCGGCAGGCCAAACGACAAACACCGGCGATGACAGCACCGCGGCAACAGGCAATAACAGCAGAGGCACGCACGCAGTGCAGATAACTGTCAGACACACGCTGGCGACGACTCGGGCGACCGCCCGCCAGGCGGCAAAACACTGCCGACCGGACGAGGACCGCAGACCGCGGCAGGCGGTGGTGCTGAGGCGCCGGCCGCGCCGGCAGGGCAAACGCAACACCAGGTACACCAGGTCTGCACACCGGCCGGCCGCACCACGCCACACATGGATGGCGGATCGCCGACACATCGGGCACCAACCGGCTACGGCGAGCGCCGTGCGGTCAGGACACATCACAGGCCCGGCGCCATCCGTCCATCCGGCACGCCACCACTTCAACACATTACAGAACCGGCGCCATCCGTCCATCCGGCACGCCACCACTTCAACACATTACAGAACCGGCGCCATGCGTCCATCAGGCACGCCATCACTTCAACACATCACAGAACCGGCGCCATCCGTCCATCAGGCACGACATCACTTCAACACATCACAGACCCGGCGCCATGCGTCCATCAGGCACGCCATCACTTCAACACATCACAAAGCCGGCGCCATCCGTCCATCAGGCACGCCATCACTTCAACACATCCGCACTGGGGAGAAGAGGCGGAGAGGAGCGGGGAGGTGGGGGGAGAGAGAAAGAAAAAGAGAGAGGAGAGAGAGAGGGAGAGAGAGGGAGAGAGAGAGGAGGCGGAGAGGCGGAGGCGGAGCGGCGGAGGGGAGGGGGGGGGAAGAGGGAGGATGCGGACCGTACCGGATGTTGGACTTCCGGTGAGCGGGCGCCGGCGGCGCGGGCCCACGAGCGGCAGGCGGGCCGGGGCCGGCGCCGGCCCTGACCGGCCGTCCCACGCTCCTGAGGGGAGGGCGGGGCGACGGCGACGGATGTCAGGATACGGCAAGGGGCTCCCGTGACAGAGACGACAGTGGAACGTTCCGGAGGGCGTAGTGAGCACAGCAGCGCTCGGGGGGGAGGGGACCAGAGAAGACAGGAGCGCCCGGAAGGACATAGTGACCATGCGATCACTCAGGAGGGCCCAGTGATGAGGAGAGCTCTCGGGAGGGGTGACCTCGTGAGCTGTCGGATGCCGTGATCCACTGGAATTGTTTAGGGTGTCTAGCCTTGGGTGGAGTCACAAGATCGGCTTGAGTTACCACCAACGGCGTGGAGTCAAGGTTCAGCGTGAAGTTCTTCCCCTAGCATTCCATGACTCAGTCAGCAACTATGTATGAAGATGTCAACACGAACCGACCATAAAAAATAATCCACCCAAACTGTGAAAGCGACGTTTTAAACACGCCCTAGGGTCCGACCAAGCGGCCGGGATTTTTCGTTCCCCTTTGAACCTACGCCCATATCAGTGAGGGCCCCAGCTTAAGTGCTGAGAAGCCGGCCTGCCCCAGCCGGGGTGCTGAGACACCGCTTCGCCCTAGCCTATGGGGCGCACAACTGACGACCGGCGGAGCTCAGGGGTGACGAGGCAGTGTCACAAACACAGCGGAGATCACGTGACACGCCCAATGGCTTCCACATGCCGGGAACGCAGCTGGATGCACGCAGAACCGACGTAGCGCGGCATGTGATTAGGACCTAGCTAGTTTTAAAGTAAAGTAAAGTCTAGGCTTTAACGAACAGTGTGGCGACAGCGGACACGATAACCAGTATCGCTGCAGGCAGCCTTCCAACGTAATAAAAACAACGGTTAACACCCGGCGGCCGCGCCACGTCCAACAATCAATCACTGAGGACCACCGTCCGCTTACAACACCATTGTCACTGCATCCTTTGCCGACGGCTGTCACGTTTGTACAGGTGACATCTGAACGCCTAGCTACAGTAAAGCAGCGCGTCCCTCTTCCAGTGTCGGTCGTCGAAAAGGCCGATACCGTAACAAGAGGTGACGCCGCGGACCACCACCGTGCTGTGAGCACCACCGCCGCCTCAGCAGCGGCGGCAGCTGGAGGCTGGGCTCCGGACCACGGCGGTCGCCTCACCTGTCTGATCGGCAGCAGCTTGCGGGCCGGGCTGCCCGAGCGGCGCCGCTCCGGGCTCAGGCTCGGCGTGCGCAGACGACGGCCGGCCGGCGGCGGCGACAGGCTGCGGCGCCGCGGCGGCAGCGGCGACCGGGACCTGACGCGAACGGGGCAAGGGTCAGGCAAAACAGTGATTAAGGCGGGCGGGTCCTGACCCGGGCAAGAGAGGGTCAGACACAACAGTGACGGGACCTGACACCGACAGGCAAGGATCAGACACAACAGTGACGGGACCTGACACCGACAGGCAAGGATCAGACACAACAGTGACGGAGGCGACCGGGACCTGACACGGACGGGGAGAGGATCGGACACAATGACGGCGCCTGACACGGACAGGCAAGGATCAGACACAACAATGACGGAGGCGATCGGGTCCTGACACGGACAGGAGAGGGCCAAACACAACAGTGACGGAGGCGAACGGGACCTGACACGGACGGGGAGAGGGTCAGACACAACAATGACGGAACCTGACACGGACGGGGAGAGGGTCAGACCCACAAGTGTTACCCTGGCCCTTCCCCCTCCCCATGTTACCTGGAGTGTCGGCCGGACCGGGCCGTGTGTCGGGGCGGCGTGTGGCCCCTCTCCCTCCCCATGTTACCTGGAGTGTCGGCCGGACCGGGCCGTGTGTCGGGGCGGCGTGTGGTCCCTCTCCCTCCCCATGTTACCTGGAGTGTCGGCCGGACCGGGCCGTGTGTCGGGGCGGCGTGTCGTCCCGCAGCGGCAGCCCCAGCTGCAGCCGCCGGATAAACTCCTCCTGCGTCAGCGGCAGCGGCCGGGGCGGAGACCTGTGGCCGGCGGACAGACGGGCACGTGAGACCACTTCGGCATCGGAGAACCCACACAGCGCACAGCAACAGCTAGAGCAGGCTGAGCAAGACATGACAATGACAGGTACATGGCCACGGTGACGCAGCGGCGACGATTGCCGGGGCATGAAATCTGGCAGGCGAGCACAGACCGCAACACGCAGACGCGGGCCCACTGAATTACTTATTATTTTTGGAAGCTTTAGGACGCATCAATGCATTGCTTCATGGGATGCCACCAAAGAAATACCACTCCCTGGGCACAAATGAGACCTCCAGCGGCCCGCTCCCACATTCAACCGCGTAACCCCCGCCTCCCCCAGGCCGTCCGCAGACGTCAGCCGCACCTGGAGAGCAGGGTTGGCGACGGCGGCCCCGGCGGCGGCGAGCGGCGGGCCGGCGAGCCGGGGTAACCCCGCGCCGGCGAGCTCGGGTAACCCCTCGCCGGCGAGCCCGGGTAACCCCGCGGCGGCGGCGGCGAGCGCCGGCTCGGCGAGGAGCCGTAGCCGCGGCCCGGCGAGCCGACGGCCGCCCGCTTGGCCGGCGGACCTGACGCCCGCGCTGGCGGCGGACTCAGGGCACGCTTGGCGGCCACTGCCGGCGGCGGCGTCCGGCGGGCCCTCGCCCCGTCAGCAGGAGACCGACGGTCCCTCGGACCCCCAGGCGGACTGCGCCGGTCCCTCTGTCCCGCAGGCGGACTGCGCCGGTCCCTCTGTCCCGCAGGCGGACTCCGCCGGTCCCTCTGTCCCGTAGGCGGACTGCGCTGGTCCCTCTGTCCCGCAGGCGGACTGCGTCGGTCCTTCTGTCCCCCAGGCGGACTGCGCCGGTCCTTCTGTCCCGCAGGCGGACTGCGCCGGTCCTTCTGTCCCGCAGGCGGACTGCGTCGGTCCTTTTGCCCTCCAGGCGGACTGCGTTGGTCCTTCTGGCCGCCAGACGGCGCCTTGCGGCCCCTCTGGTCGCCGTTGGTGGCGTCCCTCGTCTCGGGCCGTCGCCTGGCGTCCGCCTGCTGCCGGTCGGCGGCCGCCGCTTCGGGCCGCGCGCGCTCCCGCCGCTCCCGCCGGCGCTTCTTCTTGGCGTCCGCCTTGTCGGCCGGGTTCTCGACGAAGTCCTCGAACTCGGCCAGCATCTTGTCAAAGTCGTCGTCGCCCAGGCCCATGTCGATCACGTCCTCGTCGTCTTCCTCGTCGTCGTCCTCGTCGTCCTCGTCGCTGGCGGTCGGCGGCGAGGCAGCGGGCTGGCCGGCCGCTGGCGGTGGAGAGGTGTCGACGGCGGCCGGCGGAGGGGACGTCTCGGCGGCGGTGGCGGCGGCGGCCGGTGGGTCCTGCCCAGCCTCGGCCGCCACTGCTGCCGCCGGCGCGCCCGACGGCTGGAGGGGCGGCATCAGCACGGTGAGCGGACACAGTTCACTGCAGCACAGCCACGTGCATCGCACCATAAACCTGACAGTAGAGAGCGGTGTACGTCCGGACCATGAAAACACGGGCGCACCACACGGCCAAAACTCAAGACAGCAAACAAACAGCGCTCGTCTGGTAATCGGCGTCTGCCTCTAACGGAGGTGACTGAATATACTACATAATAGAGGACGGCTGCACACACACTGTAAATCAACTCGCTGCAGTGCTACGGCGCAGACCAATTTGGTGACACAACAGGATGGCTAACAGGGCCAAAAAAGCAGACTTCAACTGGTGTGCACTACCACCACGACTCGATATCCATTCACATTTTTTCCAACAAAATGATGTATCACACACCACAGATTCCTGTATTCCTGTTTGGACCCATGTATCCACTTGGATGCCACAGTTCCGCTGCCAGGCGATCCCCCCTGTGCCCGGGCTCCGCCACCGGCCGGCCCTCACCTGGCTGTCAGCGGGCGGCTCCGGCTGCTGTGACGTCACGGTGACGTCAGGGGTGTCCGGCGGCGCCTCCTCTTCCTCCTCCTCGTCCTCGCTGTTGGACCGGTCGATCCGGCTGAACTTGGAGCTCTCTGCCGGCGGGGACAGGGCGGCTCGGTCTCCAGGTCACCGGGGGCGGCTCGGCCCCGGCCGGCGGGGACGGGGCGGCTCGGTCTCCAGGTCACCGGGGGCGGCTCGGCGCCGGCCGGCGGGGACGGGGCGGCTCGGTCTCCAGGTCACCGGGGGCGGCTCGGCGCCGGCCGGCAGGGGCGGAGCGGCTCGGTCTCCAGGTCACCGGGGGCGGCTCGGCGCCGGCCGGCGGGGGCGGGGCGGCTCGGTCTCCAGGTCACCGGGGGCGGCTCGGCGCCGGCCGGCGGGGGCGGGGCCGGCGGGGCAGGGGACAACGGGGCAGGGGACGGCGGGGCAGGGGCCGGTGGGGCAGGGGACAGCGGGGCAGGAGCCGGTGCGGCAGGGGACGACGGGGCAGGGGACAGCGGGGCAGGGGACAGCAGTGCAGGTTAGTCCCCGGGCCGCACGGCCAGCCAGCGTCCCCCGAGGGAGGCGGCTCTGCTCACAGCGCCAGCGGCGCACCACGATAGCGGGGAGACACAGTGGGCTCACAGGCACGGAATGCGACCAATGACAATATCGCTGCCTGGATGCTGACCTCCTCCCCCCTCCCACCACAGGGTCTTTACTGCAAGGAAACTTAGCTGTAGGCTATACCATGACCATTTATCCACACAGTCGAGGGTGAGAACAACTATTATCTTACTTCTCTAGCCAAAAATAAAAATATTAATAATAACAATAATAATAATAATAATAATAATAATAATAATAATAATAATAACAATGATAATAATAATAATAATAATAATAACCTGAGAGAAGATTCAGATGTGGGGTCCATTACACACTTAAGACCAGTTATTGCAAATGCCATTCTACATTATGTTGGGAATACCAAAAGATTGTGAGGACTCAATCAAACAGAAATTCCTAAGAATATACTTTGACTGAATATGATACAGTTACTGCATTGCAAGACAAAGTTCGAAGGTCCTTGGAACTGTCCAGGTAGCCGACGTAATGTCAGATCATGGCCAGTGCCACAAGAAGTAAAACCAGACTTTGCTGCTCACCTTTCTTGCTTTGATTCTTCTCAGGTACTTGTTCATGGCTGCAACAAGAAATAGGAGATAACCCAACATGCATAGAGCAAACCAGCAGAGACCTCACGCACCACCTCGTTCATCGCAACCACCACATACCAAGTCGTCTATCACGACCATCACATACAAAGTCGTCCATCACGACCATCACAAATCAAGTCGTCCAACACGACCACCACATACTAAGTCGTCCTCCATGACCATCACGCACCAAGTAGTCTACAGCTTACAAACGCCGCGGACAATAGGCCTGAAAAATACCCCAGCTAATTAATCTTTCTACAGACAAGCATTACATTATTTTCGAACACATCACCCGCGGCCGGCACGTCACAGCACCCACAGCCGGCGCCGCGCCGTCCGGCGTCAGGCCGCAGCTGCCCCCGCCGGAGGGCGGCTCGGCGGCGCGCGCACCTGCGGCTGCGCTGTCGCTGTCGGCGCCGCTCCTGTCGGCCGGCGGCCGGCTCCTCGGCGCCTACCGGTACGATGGCGATCAGAGCCGAGCTGGCTCCCGCCCGCGGCGCCACCTGACGGACCGCAGGTCAGGTCAGGTCAGGTCAGGAAACATTCGCCGGAGCGTCTGCGCGACCGTATCCTCCGGCTGCGCCGTGGAGGGGCTGACTAAGAGATGGTTGGATGGATGGTTGGCAGCTACAGGTAGCTGGCTGACAAGCCTGCCCACAGGCCAGTGCAATGGGGGGTCAAGCAGGAACAGAGCACTTCACGCAATAGGGGAACACTACATGCTATGGGAATGACACAACTGAGCAACCATGAAAGTGTGATCAGATGTCCTCCAATTCATCAATGGGCAATCATCAAGTTTGTGATGGTTTGCACTAAAAAGAAGAAAAAATTAGATACATCATGAATGATTACAAAAAATGTTAAGCAGGAGTTAAGTCCGATTTTTAACCGTGCACCAAGCAACGGCACAGAATGCATGTTAAAGAGTGCTTCACATTTAACTGGGAGCTTTGAACTGAAATAGCCATCTCAGCGAGCCTTCAGTGCAGTTCAGAGCACTGCCCTTACGACCTAAACCATCCTAGAGTCTGTGCGAAGCGCTCGTGAGGATGTGCTTACTTTTGTAGAAAGTTATTTTACAGTTACACAAGAATCCATGACACCTTAGTAATGCTATTTGAATTCTACTATTTGATTGGTCATGCAGCAATCAGTAAAAGAAAATGCAATTGTCGAGTCGTTTACACGTGACTTTCGTGAGCACAACTTCCAGATATAACAGCTATCAATAGGCTCACAACCAATGTTTGCGATGTAATGGCCATCAATTTGCTCACAACCGGTGCTGTGCCATGTACGTGACAAAGAATGACATGTTGAGAGTAGCTCCACTAAACAGAGAAAATTATGTTGTCTAGAGCAGCCTTCTCCAATTAATAATAAACCATTAGTCATGTATGCTTATTTCATCACATCTGATACCTGTGTTAATATCTTCAAATGTGTATCATCCACTTAATCTTAAGACATGTGCAATACAAAATTTGTAACTGGCAACCTTTTATCTTGTCCAGCCCCAACAAGGTTGCTGCAGCCTCATTACAGCCAAAGCTCGCTGTACGGCCACCAGACAGGTCAGCTGCTGAGTGGCCACATAACCAGACAGGTCAGATCGCCAAACAGGTCAGCCACCAGACAGGTCAGCCACCAGCCAGCCACTGCCCGCCATCCACTGACCCGTCCCCGGCCGTGCAGGCCTCCCCGGAAGCCATGCAGCGGGCCCGGCCGGCCGCGCCGCCAGCGGCCCTCCCGCTGCTGGTGCTGCAGCAGCTGGTGCTGGTGCTGCAGGGGGTGCGGCTGCAACGGCGGCTGCCAGGGCGCCGGCACCAGCGGCGGCGGCGGCCGGCTGTAGATGAACGGCGGCACCAGCGGCGCCACCGCCGCAGGCACGAACGGCGGCGCGAGCGCGGAGAGCGCCGACGGCGCGGCGGCCGGCCGCGGCGCGCCGGGCGACGACTTCTTGGAGCGGAGCGCGGCCAGCCGCAGCGCCTCCAGGTCGTCTTCGGAGTCGGAGCCGGAGCCCATTGTGCGGTCGACGCTGGCGGCGCTCCGCCGACTGGGCAGCTCTATCAATGGTGCCGCTCTGCCGACTGGGCAGCTCTACCACTGGCGCCACGCCACTGATTGAGCGGTTCTACCACTGGTGCCAGGATGGACCACTCTGCAACATACACAGGCAGGAGCTGTGAGTTGTGGCTTATTCATCAGCTTATGTAATGAGGTGTGGGGACCTATCCAATGTGCTGAGATACATGGCAGGTGAGCAATGAACACATCAAACATTTCAGTATTCTTTTTGGAACAAGCCTATTGTTGATGAAGATGCATTAGGTGCAACATCTTGTCCAGTTCATGGAGCTTTAGAAGCATCATACAATGTTCAAATGCACCAAATGTTTAAATACACTAGTGATTAGTACTAAACACTAGTAAACACTAAATACTTCAGTCATTGCTATCATGAAATAAAGAGAATACCATGGAATGTATCTAGCTAGTACTGATATGCAAGTTTATTAACCCAGGCAATGCCACCCAGCATTTGCAGTAGCATACTAATATGGTCCATTTGGTCCAAAACCACTGGATACCCAATATCATAGTAATCAATAGGAGGAGAACTTTGTTGAAACTGGATGCTGCCAGTGTAAGGCAACTAAAACACTTTGATGCCCATGATTATTTACTGGACATCATATCCCCACTGTCTGTGATAAAGCAGGTTTTGGTGAACATAGTTCTGAAAATGAGCTTCTGAAGTTCATTGACACTTGACCATTCCATGCTGTGACCTATGTTGCAAGATAACTGCTGTGTCCTAACCAAATGGGTTTCAACCACTCTTCTCCCAATGCAAGGCCTATCTAAGAAAAAATTGACATCTTCCCAAATAGCTAACTAAAATTGGATAGGAGATTGGATAAAATTGGATAAAATCAATAGGAGGAGAACTTTGTTGAAACTGGATGCTGCCAGTGTAAGGCAACTAAAACACTTTGATGCCCATGATTATTTACTGGACATCATATCCCCACTGTCTGTGATAAAGCAGGTTTTGGTGAACATAGTTCTGAAAATGAGCTTCTGAAGTTCATTGACACTTGACCATTCCATGCTGTGACCTATGTTGCAAGATAACTGCTGTGTCCTAACCAAATGGGTTTCAACCACTCTTCTCCCAATGCAAGGCCTATCTAAGAAAAAATTGACATCTTCCCAAATAGCTAACTAAAATTGTTGACACTGGTTTAACAATAGATGTGAACATGGGATGAAAGGAACAGGCCAACACTTTTTTGTGCCTATAGATCTAGACCTGAATTTAGCTTTCCATCCTACAACTTACAAGTAAAACAAAAGTCTTCACAAAACAAAAAATATGCTTTAATCATGCATGCATTATGTACGGCCAAAGTTAGTTGGTGTACAGAGGTTAGTTAATTTTTGACACAACCTGCGCAATAACTGGGGATTTACCTACATTCTTGGCTACATACAAGATTTTGAGATTCCTCATCTTTCAGAAGAACAGACACTAACCACACTGGTTGTTATTATTGGTACCCTGTGTATGTTAATAACCTTTACATCATTGGTCAATATTTATGCTCTTTAAAATTTGATTTGGTTCACATACTTTTGCCTCTGCAATAAAGGTTAGTTACTACACATATATGAAAGGAGCAGGCAACAATTTTTGCAGCTGTGTCCAACCAGGCTAGAACAAAATGAATGGCAAAGTAAATTTTTGATGAAAAATGCAGCAACTATGACAAAAAATGACAGCCTATGTTACATCATTTGCTCATGCCATTAACTGCATAGTTATAATTTTTGCATCAATGACCACACTTGCCTAAAAAAACTGCAGCTATACATCAAACATATCTAAGACAAACATCCCCTTTTGAAACCTATGAGGCAGAGCAAAGGTTTTGACACCTACTACCATTTACCAATGAATGCTGTCAAGAGCCTCATCTGCATCACACAAACCACCACTAGAATTATGTGTCAGTGACATGCTCATGGAACAAGTATGTGACAATACCACACAACTAGCAACACTAAATTTTGAGCTTGTTTCTCCCAGAAATACAGGGTTTTCTTCAGGTGGTACATCTCCAAAGCTTGCCTTTTCGGTCCTACAAACCTTGAGAGGCACAAACAGACTTTCAGACCACGCGCTACATAATAAACCAAAATCTTTGAGCCACTTCAAACAGTGCGTCCCCAACAATGCATTATCGACAATGACAGGGAACGAGAAAAATGTAGATAAAAACATCTGGCTGATAAGGCAAAGGCCACTTATCTACCTTCCCAAAGCCGATCAAAATAGGACGTTTGACACGCTGAGGTTTGAATACCCACCTATAAGATAACCAACTGTGTGTCTTTATTCACGGCTTCTTCACAATGTACTAGTTATTCATCCGACAGACACCTGCGACGCGCTCGCAATGGCGCCTGTTCCGACAGGATTTCGGCGCATATAAAAGTGAATGTATAAACAAGAGAGCCGAAGGGGGAAAAGAGCAAAACCAGTTTCGCGTCAGTGACGTCATGAAACAAGCTGCGTCAAAATGTTTCAAGTTTTTGACGTAGAAATTATTTAATATCCTACCAGTTAGGATGAATTTAATAATTTGAGTATGGTATGGTGTAAAAACTTGTTTTTTATCTATAATAATGTATATCTATTTTTGATTTATATTCTGTGACGTCAAAAACACTATTTTTTGCAATTGTGGCGCTATAGCTACATACTATTGCTGGTTGTAGAACACATGAGGGAATAACTGCTATTTTGCAAGATTTGAGGGTTATGTTTCTATTGTCTGACCCTCGTTGATAGTTGGGAATGTGAGTGTAATCTGGCGCTGGTACGATGTCTTGGGTTTCTTTTCATTGTAGGAATTTCTAGGCAATGTGCATCAGCTAGTGTTAGTTGTCAGCATCATTTCACCAATGCAACATTTCCCTGCTAGTTGACGGGTATCGGTAGAGATTGATGTGTACATATATTTATAGGTGCCATGGTATATGTAGGGTGCTGTAAACCTAGCCTGATAATGAGATGGCTTATGACGAATGTAAGAATACGAAATTTTGTATTATGCTTGTCAGTTCCCAATTCCCAAGTCTGTAGTTTTTTGAAAACTATTTGCAATGGGCTTGGTTTCAGGATCAGATAAACAGACTTTATGAGTTAATCAAACAGATTTTTACTTGGATTTGCCCTTCTTTCTTTTTAAACATTTGGGGCTGGATTCTTTTAATTCAATGGAGAAGTATGGCCCTGATGCAGCCCTTGAGAAAGTAAAAATGTTCACTTATAAACCAGATATGTCTCTAAAGGCCACTTTTCAGATGATCAGAATGGCAGGCTGCCATTCAGTGGCAGTGTCACAGCAATATGTGGCTCAGAAAAATCTTAGTTGAAGTTTGGCTTTGAGCTGGAATTGCTCTACTGCAGTGATAGGGAAAGATTTGTTGCAACCAGCTATGCCTTATAGACATCCTTAGTCTGAAACCATAGCCAAAAATTTGGTCTAAGTTTTTCATACAAAAATTGTCCCGGCTTGCCTGAGATCCAGTCTATGCTATATGGGATGACTATGCCTTTAATTGTCCTGTTTATTGGTAAATAATTTGAGGCATCTTATTGAGTGCTTTTTTCTGTGTCACCTTACCTGTTTTTGCCTGAATATTCCTTGAGTTAGGATGCTCCTGAATGAGGTGGCCTACACTAACTAAGCAGGAAAGATGAATGTCCAGTCCGTTTTTTGTCAGTTCTTTTCGGGTATCCAGTGTTTTGTAAAATGAGCTTCCTTGGGATGCTGCTTAGGCATGCTATCAGATGGGGAAAATATGGAACCAACTGCATTGCCTCCTAAGTTCTGGTTTAAACATTGATTGAGGTCAAGGTCAAGTTGAGATATCATGCATTACTGAAAACTGAATGAGGATATCAGTTTCAGGATGTCATTCCTAGAAAATTCAAGCCATAGTGTGCTTCTGGATTGCAGTGACCAAGAATCCAGCATGAAAGGAAGGTATGCTGGCCACCACCAGGCTGCAGGGTATTTGGTTGCATTTAGAAGTAACTTCTGTTATTTTACTGTGAATTCAGTCAGTGATGCATATGTTCTTCCAAGTTTGCTCTCTAGGATGTTGTGGCTGAAATACTGAAGTCAGATCCTAAAATCTGAAACATAAAGTCAGTGTAGGTTAGGTGTTGATTCAGCTAAGTTTACAATTTATATGATGCTGATTTAAACATCTGTCACAACAATACAACTGATTATCAATGCAATATGAATGAAACAGAATCCAGCCGTAACCTGCAACCTTGACCTCTTGCCATGCCATACAGCAGTGGCCCGCTCCACTGACTGCACATATATTGATTCTTGTGCTGTGATTGGCTGGCACCATGTGACGTAGACGCCATCAAATGCCGTGATTGGCTGTTGCAGCACAGTGGCCTGGGCCGGTGCCGACCTGCTGGACCCTGGCAGCGATGGGGCGGACTTCGACATCTCCAGCTTCTTCAACCAGCTGACGGCGGCAACACCGGCGCCGGACCCGGGATCCGTACCGGGGTCGGGGCCGGGGCCGCCTGGCTCCAGCCAGCTGATGGACCGCACGTGTAAGGCTGAGCCAGCTCCGGCCCCCGCTCCCACTCCCGCCGCCCGCTTCCGCTGTCGCCGCCCGCCGCCCGCCGCCCGCCGCCCGCCGCCCGCCGCCCGCCGCCCGCCGCCCGCCGCCCGCCGCCCGCCGCCCGCGTCCAGTCCCGCCGTCCGCCGTCCACTCCCGCCGCCCGCGTCCGCTCCCGCCGCCCGCGTCCGCTCCCGCCATCCGCGTCCGTCCCCGCCATCCACGTCCGGCTTCTGCGTACCGGAGGAGAAATGATGCAAGTGCTTGGTGGCTTCAATGGAGCCTCATATCTATTTTAGTGCAACTTTAAATTCGGCCGAATTGAACGTTTGGTTTTCCCATGCATTGCTTTATTAGTGACTCCTCTGTTCCTCTTCGTAGTCGTCGGCCTGCAGATAAGATACGTGAGTGCCGCTTCCATCTCCAACTGCACGGAGCATTCCTTAAAAACATTCATGAAGCAACAAGCACGTCATGTTCTAGACCGCAACGTCGCACTTCGCCCAAGCGAGACTGGCTGAATGTTGACTGGCTGGCCGTGCCATCCAGGTGTGGCAGCTGAGCTGAATGAGGGGCTGTCGGCGGTGGACCAGCACACGGTGGGCGAGTTATGTGCAGCTGATGGCGAGTTATGTGCGGCTGCTGCCGAGGCCAGCGCTGCCGACCTGTCGGCCCTGCTTGGAGAACATGCAGAGGTAGGAGGGCTCCCGCGATGGCGTCGGACATGTGACGACGGCGATGGTTTAGATGTGCTTGATGTCTCATTGTTCTCGGTGCTAGGTAGATGCTAGGTACATACTCGTGTGGTGGAAGGTTGTGTTAGGTTCAGTCGGGTCGCTAGCTGTTGTTGCTATGAGTTTTCTCACTTTCCATCCAGTTGGGCGCCTGGTTGCTGTTCTGATCAGTCGCTGACTGATAGGCCTGGCCAGTTGCTGATGGTCTGTCTGCAGGTGGTCTGTCAGCTGATGGTCTGTCAGCTGATGGTCTGTCAGCTTATGGTCTGTCTGCTGATGGTCTGTGTGCTGATGGTCTGTAGCTGATGGTCTGTCAGCTGATGGTCTGTCTGCTGATTGTCCGCCCGCTCAGTTACAGGAGGCGCTGCTGGCTGCCACGGAGCCCGCGCCGCCCCCCGGGAAGACATTCGTTGTCGTTAAAAAACAGCAGGTGGGTGAAGATCATGATGCGATAGACCACTGATGATCATGCTGTCTTGAGCAGAGACAATATGATCAAACTTCAGTGACCGCTATCATAGGCTCTTATATGCAGTTCGTTTTGGAACCAAACTTCGGTGACAGCTATCATAAGCTCTTATATACAGTTTGTTTCGGAACCATTTGGTAACCAAATCCGCTGAAGAATAATTTGGCTGGAGATTAGTGGTGGCCAAGCATGTAGTGGTGATGGTATTTTCTGGTGGTGATGAGTAATGAGTGATGCGTAACCACTGTCTGATGATAGACGTAATCACGCCCTAATGCCAGCGGCCCATCTCTGTTTGTGTGCCTTCTATATGGTCAAACACAGTACTACACTCATTTTTTTCGGAACTTAATGTGGTCTGGACCCTACTGACCGCAGTGGTGGTCATGCACATGATCTGATCGAACAGCTGAGTAAAAATAATCTCGTCAAGTGGAACATTCAAGATTTAAAACACAAATTTCTTTGGGAGGGCTATCCTTGTAGTCTGTGCAGACATGCTTAATCCATACACCTAGATGTACATGTGCATCCTGTTCTGAAGGGTGTAGGGCTTCCGACGTTGAAGTTACATACTGGTGTACCTGGCAGGATGAATTGACTGAAGGACAACCTTGAAGCACAACCTTGAAGGATGAATCGATTCTCATGAATGTGAAGCCAGCAAGTCTAGAGTGCATGTGCTGGGAGGAATGTCCAGTGGGCACCTGATAGCAGTTTAGCTCTCTTGGTAATCGACACACAAATGACTGCTGTTCCACATATGGACTGATGGCACTCTCTCTGGAGCATCCCCAGCACCAACCGTTCCGCCGGCGTCGGAGGCGGCCCCTGTCCCGTCGGTCGGGGATGAGGCGTCCCGAGAAGATGCCGCCGGACGACGGTGACCCGCTGACCTTGTGGTGACCCGCCGACCTCTTGCCTTTGTCGGCAGCGGGGGTCCCGTCAGCCGGGGGTGAGGCGTCCCAAGAGGACACCGCCGGAGTACATTGACCCGCTGACCTCGTGGTGACCCGCCGACCTCTTGCCTCTGTCGCCAGCGGGGGTCCCGTCGGCCGGGGGTGGGGCGTCCCAAGAGGACACCGCCGGAGTACGATGACCCGCTGACCTCGTGGTGACCCGCCGACCTCTTGCCTTTGTCGGCAGCGGGGGTCCCGTCAGCCGGGGGTGAGGCGTCCCAAGGGGATGCCGCCGGAGTACGATGACCCGCTGACCTCGTGGTGACCCGCCGACCTCTTGCCTTTGTCGGCAGCGGGGGTCCCGTCGGCCGGGGGTGGGGCGTCCCAAGAGGATGCCGCCGGAGTACGACGACCCGCTGACCTCGTGGTGACCCGCCGACCTCTTGCCTCTGTCGCCAGCGGGGGTCCCGTCGGCCGGGGGTGGGGCGTCCCAAGAGGACGCCGCCCGAGTACGGTGACCCTCCCCCGGCGCCCCTCTCCGCCTACAACCTGTTCGCCAAGGAGCAGTACCCCCGGCTCAAGGCCCGATGGCGGGGACTCAACGTGCGGAGGGTACGTGCTCGGGGTGGGGTACGTGCTTTGGTGGCAAATGTTGGGTACGTAATGTTGTTCAGCGTGAAGGGTACGTGCTCGGGGTGATGGGTACGTGCTCAGGTTGAAGGGCACGTGCGCGGGGTGAAGGGTATGTGCTCGGGGTGAAGGGTGCGCCCTCCAGAAGGGTACGTCCTTGGGATGGAAGTACGTGCTCTGGGTGTAGGAGGCGCTGTTGGGGTACCGGATGTGGGCGGGTCTGAACACTGACCTGACCTGACCTGACCTGACCTGTCTTCGTCAGGCCGGTCCGAAGCTGTCCAGCCTGTGGGCGGGTCTGAGCCCGGCTGAGCGTGGCGTGTACCAGGAGCGCGCCTACCAGCAGAAGGAGCAGTACCGGCAGCAGCTCACCGACTACCGGCGGCGGGCGAGGTTGTGGCGCCGACGCCAGGCACAAGGTCAGTCAGGTCAGCAGAGACGCCGCGCGGCTGTGGCGCCGACGCCAGGCACAAGGTCAGGGTCGGGTCAGCAGAGACGCCGCGCGGCTGTGGCACCGACGCCAGGCACAAGGTCAGAGCCGGGTCAGTAGAGACGCCGCGCGGCTGTGGCGCCGACGCCAGGCACAAGGTCAGAGCCGGGTCAGCAGAGACGCCGCGCGGCTGTGGCGCCGACGCCAGGCACAAGGTCAGAGCCGGGTCAGCAGAGACGGCGGTGGGCGCGGCTGTGGCGCCGACGCCAGGCACAAGGTCAGAGCCGGGTCAGCCGAGACGCCGCGCGGCTATGGCGTCGACGCCATGCACAAGGTCAGAGCCGGGTCAGCAGAGACGCCGCGCGGCTGTGGCGCCGACGCCGGGCACAAGGTCAGAGCCGGGTCAGCAGAGACGCCGCGCGGCTGTGGCGCCGACGCCAGGCACAAGGTCAGAGTCGGGTCAGCAGAGGCGGCGGCGGGCGCGGCTGTGGCGCCGACACCAGGCACAAGGTCAGAGTCGGGTCAGCAGAGGCGGCGACGGGCGCGGCTGTGGCGCCGTCGCCAGGCACAAGGTCAGAGTCGGGTCGGCCGAGACGGCGGCGGGCCGCGGCCGGTCAGCCAGTGCAGGCAGGCGGCGGAGGGGCGGTGCATGCAGTAAGTGGAAAGGGGCGATGCGTGCCCAGTGTGTGATATTGGTTTGTACTGGGCCAACGCGCGCCAATGTGATGTGGAGTATAAATACGTTTGCATAGTATGTGAATGGGTGGTGTGGTAAGCTAGATTGAATTTCGACCCCCTGAGGTCACACTTGGCTCGTAATGTTATCTTCGGCATGCTGAGATGTACCAGCTGGATGGGCACATCTCACACACTGTACACCTCTGAGCTGGAGGACTGATTATGTCGTAAGGCGGTTTGCATCGGCCGATTGTGTCGTAAGTCGAATTACATCGGCCGATTCGGTCATAAGACGGCTTTCATCGGTCGATTCGGTCGTAAGTCGGCTTTCATTGGCCGATTCAGCAATGGGTCGGCTTGAACAGCGTCGGAATGCCGCGATTGACCTTGCCCTGACCCGGCAGCCGAGGGGGACGGCGACTCGACTGACCAACCCGAGGTCCACTCCGACGACGACCGCAACGACCTCTACTGCCGACTCTGCGACGCCTACTTCAGCAGCTCCCACAACAAGGAGCAGCACCTGCACAGTCGGCAGCACGTGCGCGTGAGTGTCGCCCCCCGGATCGGAGCGGAGGCGGCGCTCCGGCCCGCAGACCGCGCGCTGTGCGGTGTAACAACGGCGCGATGGGTCTCCTTGTACGACACGCGGACAGCGCTCTAATTAGAGGCGCGTCCGGTCTTGAAATCAGACATAATATTGTGTGTAATAGACTGGGACTGCGACTTGCGTTTGTTGGGGGCGGTATTTGTCAAGTTCGGACATCTCCTTGCGTGGTTTGCTCCGATGCTTATGTCTGTTGGCCGACGCGACCGTGTCTGTCATCTGTATACTGACCTGACCCAGCCTGCTCATCTGACCTGGACCATTGGCCTGATCTGCCTGCCGACCAACCCCTCCTGATAGCCAGACCCCACGTCTGCTGGCCTACCCCCGCGTGCTGACCTGCCCCCGCGTGCTGATCAGCCCCCGCGTGCTGACCTGCCCCGCGTGCTGACTTGTCTCCCGCGTGCTGACCTGCCCCCCGCGTGCTGACCTGCCCCGCGTGCTGACCTGCCCCGGCGCCGGCCTGTGTCTGCCGCAGGCCATCTCGCTGCAGGCGGCCGAGTGGCCGGCGGCGTCGGCCGACAGCGAGGACGAGCGCCCAGACTCGCCGCTCGAGCCGCCGGCGGACGTGTCCGGCGCGCTCGAGGACGTGCTGCACCAAACCGTCCGTGAGTTGGCCCCGGCCGGTGAAGACTCAGCGCTACCCAAGCACTCCTCAGTCTCTGGTGCCCGATGAAGTTTTAACGTACTTGATTGACAACCGCCATATTATCCAAACTGCGTCGATGCTGCTCGGAAAAAGTGGGACATCTTTAGCTGATCCAGTTACGTTTGTATGAATATCGTTGCACGAAATAACCCCGGTGAATAAATTCACCAAAACGCAGTTGTCGTGTGTACTTTTAGGCATTATCAATGATGTTATGCACAGTCAAAGGCCAGAAGCATGCAAACTACGGCTTGCAACATTCGGTCTCTGCAAACTGACGTTAAGGCTTGGCGCTTTGTCGTTGGTTATGGTGGTGTCCATGTGGTCCTCCCCACCATGGTTTCCATGTGGTCCTCCCCTCCATGGTATGCTGTGTCGGTTGTAATGATGTCCATGTGGTCCTCCCCACCATGGTGTCCATGTGGTCCTCCTCTCCGTGGTATGCTGTGTCGGTTGTAGTGGTATCCGTGTGGTCCTCCCCACCCTGGTATGCTGTGTGGGTTGTAATGGTGTCCGTGTGGTCCTCCCCACCCTGGCATGCTGTGTCGGTTATCATGGTGTCCGTGTGGTCCTCCCCACCCTGGTATGCTGTGTCGGTTGTAATGGTGTCCGTGTGGTCCTCCCCACCCTGGTATGCTGTGTCGGTTGTAATGGTGTCCGTGTGGTCCTCCCCACCATGGCATGCTGTGTCGGTTGTAATGGTGTCCGTGTGGTCCTCCCCACCATGGCATGCTGTGTCGGTTGTAATGGTGTCCGTGTGGTCCTCCCCACCATGGCATGCTGTGTCGGTTGTAATGGTGTCCGTGTGGTCCTCCCCACCCTGGTATGCTGTGTCGGTTGTAATGGTGTCCGTGTGGTCCTCCCCACCATGGTATGCTGTGTCGGTTGTAATGGTTTTCGTGTGGTCCTCCCCACCATGGCATGCTGTGTCGGTTGTAATGGTGTCCGTGTGGTCCTCCCCACCATGGTATGCTGTGTCGGTTGTAATGGTGTCCGTGTGGTCCTCCCCACCATGGTGCGCTGTGTCGGTTGTAATGGTGTCCGTGTGGTCCTCCCCACCATGGTACGCTGTGTCGGTTGTAATGGTGTCCGTGAGGTGTGTCATGTGGTCCTCCCCACCCTGGTATGCTGTGTCGGTTGTAATGGTGTCCGTGTGGTCCTCCCCACCATGGTACGCTGTGTCGGTTGTAATGGTGTCCGTGTGGTGTGTCATGTGGTCCTCCCCACCCTGGTATGCTGTGTCGGTTGTAATGGTGTCCGTGTGGCCCTTGCCGCCACGCTCTATAGATTCAGTGAGTGCAGTTCTAGCCGTCCCGCACAGTCATATGCTGCTGGCTTCTTGGGGGAGGAGCGGTGTACATGATGGCCGACAGCGACCATGTGACTCTGAACTCTGCCGCAGGGCGACAGGAGGACTTGGTGTCGTATCTGACATGCTCACCCTGTGGCCTTCGTCAGGGTGACACCAGGGGTGTGGTATCTTGAGTGCAATGTCAGAGAGTGGATGTGCGGTGGTATGACACAGTCACCCCGACCCGCACGCCAGGTCGCGAGCAGGAGATCCGCTGCCTGACGGAGGCCCGCGCGCAGCTGGGCGAGCAGCAGCGCCAGCTCCGGCAGCTGGCTGACGAGCTGGAGGTGAGTGGCGTGCCCCCGCCGGCTGGGCGAGCAGCAGCGCCAGCTCCGGCAGCTGGCTGACGAGCTGGAGGTGAGTGGTGTGCCCCTGCCCACTCGGTCACGGCCCACACAGCCGGTCAGAACCCAGGCCGGCCCTGCACGGGTCAGCAGAATGGCCAGGCGCGGGGCGTTGGAAAGACCAAGAGCATCACAGCGTCGTCAGAAATCTTGGCCGTCAATTTCGTGGCCTGCATTTGGAGTTAGTTCCTGTCGTGCGTATTGTGGGGATTGGGCGCTGATTGTTCCGCTAGCCGTCAGCTGTTGCCGTTACATTGTCGCTTGGGTGTCTGCGTTTTGGATGTGATACATGTGGCTGTGTGCTGCAGGTGCGCCACGATAGGGCGGCCATGGACCTGGAGTCGGAGACGTCACACAGTCGGCGGCTGACCGACCAGCTGGAGAACCTGCTGCTGGTGCCCACCCTGTTCGGCGTCATGAGCCAGTGGAGCTGCGACGCCCAGCCCGGCGGGGTCAGCTGACGCGAGGCCAGCGCCATCTCGGAACGGCCCGCCACACTCGCAGTTTGACGCCGTGCCGCCGTGCGGTCTGCCGTTGTCCAGCGTGCAGTTGGCTCAGTGCCTGCGAAGGGCTGATGCACGGAAGTGGGGTGATGTGTATCGATCTCAGACGGCATTTTGCTGTTTCGGTCTGCTTAGCAATGTATTACAAATGCTCACTTCGCTTTATCGTCCTTGCTGGTGGCCGTTGTATTTATGCGGTGATGACGAGAGCGAGCAGCGTTTGTTCCCATGGATGATGTGCGGTATTTAAATGATGTTTTGTTTTTGGCTTTTTGGTTTCTGTTCGCTGCTCAAGATTGTGCGTCCGATGACCAGACGCTGGGCCCATGCCTATTTCGGCGTCAATTTCAGTTCTCTTTTCATTTGCTTCCTTTCGTATTTCATCAGTTACGGATTGAGCGCCCTGGTGACAATGGGTGAGGCTCCGAACCAAACTGGAGACGCCCACCTCAAACTCGTGATCACTATCAAGTGTCACAGCCCAGACCGCGTACACAATGCGTGGGCTCCATTCAGTGTAATACAGCCTCGCATGGAACACAGCTGGCGAGCAGATCACGCTGAGTTCCCCAGCGTCTCGCGCGGCGGAGACGGAGCGGCTGCGGCGCCGCATTCGCTGCGAGGAGCTGCGGCCGCCGACGCCGGACTAGTCCTAGCAAGTCATGGGACCAGGGGGCGCTGACAGGCCGGAGGTCCCTCGGATCTCGCGCGCGTCCGTTCACCCCGACGTGGAGGCCGGGCGCACCAGACCCGCCCCCATCGAGTGATGCCGCCCGCTTGGCTGCCGCGCCGGAGCCGGGCCGGCCAGTGTTGAGGTTGCGACCTGCGTTCTGCTCCGCCATAGGTCGCAACCTCACTGCTCCGGGTCAGACAGACGGGCAGACGTCCGTGGCGACTGACAGTCCCGACAACATCCATCACTGGCTTAATTTATTGCTGGATACAAAATGTCACACGGAACGTGGCTCTCAATCTCACTGCATGGCTATGTAAAATCATACGTTTCCACACAAGCATACTGCGACCGTTGTTATAGCAGTAGTAGCAACTGGGGCTTTCGGATGCCTCTACAACGCGGTCATATAGCACCCACGTGGCCGCCGTTATCACGATTCCCGGCAATATCATCGGGGATGACGGTACGGTTAGTTACAGTGCTATCACACAGCCACAGCGGGTGACCGACAGCACGACTGGCCAGTATGACATTCCCCGAGAGCCGGTGGCCAACGCGCCGCCTCGGTGGGAATCAGCGTAAGCGCCCGACATGCTCTGCCGTTTGCTCACCGCTGGTCACAACGGCTCATAACGGGGACGGTAAGACGAGCATTACATGACAAGCGTTACATGACAAGCATTGGCTACATTTGCACCCACAAACTCGTGGCGAATGGCGGTTCGAAACGAATTTGATTCCCACCATGTCGACGGATGCTGTGACGCCCGATGCCCAAAAGTACAGAAGCTTATGCGTACGCAGCTTTACTTTCTGTGCATGAGGCACGCCGTTTCACACAAGTTAGTGTTTCGATTTTGATTGCTTCGATAAGGCACGCATGTATTTGGGTCCCCAGGAGGTCCTACACGGTAAACAGCAGTAGGCTATATCGCGGTCTTTGCCGGTTCCGTTCCGTCCGAGCCGGTCCGGGCCGAGCCAAGCCGGTGGCGAGCGACGGCTGGCAGCGCTGAGGACCGCTCCCGGTGTCGGCGCCTCAGGGCATGTCCGGCTCGACCTGCTCCCAGACGTGCTCCACACAGTGCTGCAGGGCCTGAGGCGGACAGCGGGGGCCGGTCACAGTCGGCACGGCTAGGCCCGCCAGCCGACAACACACGCACACACCGCAGACACTCCACTCATAGCACCGCCAACGTCGGGACGGTACAGTTGGGCCGCTTTCGGTGTAGAGCTCTCCAACACTCTCTACTCTAACGATTCGCTCCTTCGCGGCGGCATTTGCTCCTAACAATGCTCGGTCAGTACATGGACGATGCCGTCCGTAGCGGGCGCCAGGCGAGCCCGCCCACAAGTCAGCACTCGGCGTCGGTGCAGCGGCCACTCACGTTACAGGCCCTGGCGTGGAACTCATCCTGGCAGAAGTAGTCGGGGCCCCACTGGCAGCGTTCGCCCCCCATCAGGTGCACCGTGCCAGGCGGCCGGGGGCACAGGTCAATACCTGCCGACGGCACAGGTCAATAACTGGCGACAGCATAGGTCAATGATGCCGACAGCAAAGGTCAAAACCTGCCGACAACACAGATCAATAATGCTGACAGCACGGGTCAATACCTGCCGATGGCACAGGTCAATAATGCTAACATCACGGGTCAATAATGCTGACAGCACAGGTCAATAATGCCGACAGTATAGGTCGATACCTGCCGACCGCATAGGTCAATAATGCTGACAGCACAGGTCAATAACCGCCGACAGCACAGGTCAATACCTGAAGAGGAGGGGCTGGTCGACACAGCTCTCGTCCACACAGGGTGGAGGCCACTGCACGGGACATACGAAGACGCAGGAGATGGAATAGGTGAACGCCAATACAAACGGGGAGCAGCAGCCCCGATGTGCAGGGGCGGATACAGTCACTCTAAACGAAAATTAGAATGACACCCCACATGATCCCACCAGATAATGACGTATGGATTCTAGTATTACAACAGAGTAGTGCTACTATAACACCGCAGATGGTTCCACACTAGTGCTACGACATAGTACTTTTACCGAACGGAGTGTTGCGACTTTGTTCCTGCTGTCACTTCCTACCCACATGAGTTCTACGGGACAGAACTTATGCTGCAAAAATTATACCCGTCATTATTTCTTGTGCAAAACTCATACAGCCGCTACATATGCACAAATTGCCTCTGCTGCAAAGACTTAAACGCGACATTAGTGATACGCGACAAACGTTATGTTTCAAAAAGTTGTACCCGTCATTCCTTCTACTGCAAAAGCATAGAGTCATTACTCATCCACGATATTACTTCTACTGCAAAAACACATACGCGATATAAATGTTGCCCAATAAAGCCATGTTCCAAAAACTTACGCCCGTCTTTACCTCTCTTGCAAAAACCCATAGTTACTGTTTTTACGACGTTGCTTCTGGTCTAAAGACTTCTACGCGGCGTTAGTGCCACACGGCAAAACCTGTACTTCAGAAATGTATAAATGTCACAACTTCTACTGCAAAAACTTAAGCTGCCAGCGTCGCTTCAGCGGTGGCCTCCCCCATGCGGCAGCTGTGGACTCTTCCGGCTGACTGGCCGCTGTCGCCCGAAGCTCACCGATGCAGACATCCCGGGGGGAGACCAACTGACTCAGCTGGCTGAACACCCACGGCCCGTACCACTCCACCAGCTGCTCACACTGCGAAATAGGAGGTCAGGTCAGACGGGTGACTCGGGTCAGCTCGGGTCAGCACGGGAAGCCCCAGATCTGAACAGAGTTAGCTTGGTCCATACAGTTCAACAGCAAATAGCATGATGTCGATACCACAACCGCATGTTTTGATTGCACCTTTGAAACTCGCAATCATGCATGCATTGGGAAATCAAGGAGCCCGACCAAAAGTGTAGCACAAAAACATGTGTGCACGTCGCATATTTAAGACCTTTTCTACTCCATTCAACGGTAGCTCACGACATTCTGTTTGATTTGATGTTACTGTGTTGACCGCATCCCTACGGAGAACCGTCAGTCTGCCCCGCTCCGACCTGACCGCTCAAAGCGGCGCCTTGCAGCTGTAGCCCCGCCCCGGTCCGGCCCGCCGACCGGGGCGCCGTCAGCTGGCTGCGAGGCTGTCTCTGGCCATCGCACCGCAGCCCGGGTCCTTAAGGGGTCGCTGCTTCATGCCCGGACCGGGCCCTCCACCCGACCGTGGCTTCTGGTCTGATCTTCCCTCCGACCACGCCTTCTTCTTGTCCGGTCCTCGGCCAGTCAGGGTCCTCCTCTTGTCCAGTCCTCGGCCAGTCCGGGTCCACCTCTTGCCCGGTCCCCGGCCAGTCCGGGTCCTCCTCTTGTCCAGTCCTCGGCCAGTCCTACACGTCCTCTTGTCCGGTCCTCGGACCATCCGGGTCTTCTTCTTGTCTGATCTTTGGCCGATCCGGATGGTCCTCTTGTCCGGCCCTTGGCTAGCCCGGGACGTCCTCCTGTCCGATCCTTGGCCGGTTCGGATAGTCCTTTTGTCCGGTCCTCGGCCGGTCCGAGACGTCTTCCTGTCCGAGCCCTGGTCGGTCCGGATAGTCTTCTTGTCCGGTCCTCGGTTAGTCCGGGACGTCCTCTTGTCCGGTCCTCGGTCGGTCCGGATTGTCTTCTTGTTTGGTCCATGGCCAGTAAGGGACGTCTTCTTGTCCGGTCCTCAGTCGGTCCGGGTCCTCCTCTTGTCCGATCCTTGGCCGGTTAAGCCGATCCGGGTCGTCTTCTTGTCCGGTCCTCCACCGGCCTGGGACGTCCTCTTGTCCGGTCCTCAACCAGTCCGCGACGTCCTTTTTTCCGATCATCGGCCAGTCCGAACGTCGTCTTATCCGATTCTCGATCGGTCTGGGTCCTCCGCCCACCCAGCTCCCTCATTGTCGGTCTGTACCTCGGCGCGAAGCTTCACCACACACCGCTGCGTCCAACAACTCTCCCTAAGCCTGCTCTGATCCCTGCCTTCCACCAGTCCTCAATCTTCTCCGGTGAGGCGTGGCGCCTCCACCGCACCGCAAGCTCCTCCCAATGATGGCCGACACAGCACCGACCTCATCCCGGGGTCCCCGAGGATCCCCTGTGGAAGCGGCGCTGTTCGCCCGATCAGCGAGTCCCTCGGCAGACCATACCGGCGCCCCCCCCCCCCCCCACCCATACGCTGACCTGCGTCCGCGGGTCGCGCGGCGTACTACCTGGCGCCCGAGTCTGTCACCATAGGCACTGCGCACTTGACAAGTCGTCAGGTCTGTATTGAACGGATGAGACGCGGTTGGTGTTGGGAGGTCGGACCGAACGCGCCCGCGCCACTCGCTGGGTTCGTCTGAACGCAGCCGGGCGCGGCACGCACCTGCTCGCGGCGCCGGCCCGGCAGGCGGACGCAGAATCGGCTCAAGTGGTGGGACAGGTCCCGGGCCCCGTCGTCCTCAGCGTACACCTGCAGGTCCGTCAGCAGGGCCACGCACGGCTCGCACGGCAGACCGTCGTCAGCAGCTGGGGTCAGGTCAGCCGAACAAGGGCGCAGTCAGGCGGCCGCACAGGGGTCACTCGGCGAGGGTCAGCTGGTCAGGGGCGGTCAGACGGCCGCACGAGAAGGTCACTCAGCAAGGGGTCAGCCGGTCAGGGGCGGTTTCAGGTGACGGGCAGAGGGGAACACTGGTCAGAAAGGGGAAAACGCATGCAGGAATGCCAGGGACGGAGTTGGATTGAACAATAACGAGAAAGGGTGCACAAAGGCCATCTACGGGCGCGCCAATAGCTAAGACTGGACTTGCCGTACCCCTCCCTCCTAGTATATCCAACTACGTGACCTCTAAACCTGCTCATTCAACATGAATTATGCACAACGCAACGCATAGCACAAAATTTCATGCACATTCATGCACAGCAATCTGACATTGCTTCAAGTCACATTTTTAGTTGTGTTCTAAGACCGGTTTTCACGTAAGCCCCGACGAGGTGTCGGTACTCGAGATATACATGTGTGTACTGTCATCACAGCCACTAGCAAACACACACTGATGGAGCGTACAAAAGCGTTTTCCCGTACCCTGCAGCATAAACTGGCCCACAGAAGCGCGCGTGCACTACCTAAAATCACGGATAGCCAGCCAGCAACATGCAATGTCCGGACCAGTAAAGCAGGCGCGCAAGGGCGGCGGGAATGTCGCAGTGTCTCGTCACTTGCGGATCACCCCGCCATCGCTTCCCTCCGAAAGGGTACGCAGAGGACACGGTCGCGTGTTAGACATCTTTCTGGTAAGCTCATTGGTTGGTTCTTCAGATCAGGTCAGGTCAGGTCGCATCAGGGTCGAGGCGTGGCTGCATTTCGCCGCATCACACTGGCAATGGTTACGTCTCTTGCCGATCACCGCCCAGATCTTTTGTCCTTAAGGCCGCGCCCTCAAGCCGTGTCCAAAAAAGGCCTGAGCGCACACTAGAGGCGTGGCGCGCGCTCTGACCCCAACCAGCCGCTGGGCGTCCGCCGGCCTCCGTGGTGTCCCTGCTCCGGGTCACATCCACTCCCCACGCTCTCTGTCTTCGCTGCACTTGCCGCCGCGCCGCCGGCCGACGCACGACCTCGTCCTTGGCGGATCTCGCCGCCATCAACTACGAACGCCTCACGAAAGTACCCGTGCAGCGGACGCCGCGAACCAATCAATAGGGTGGGCGTGGCCAACACGCGTTGAGTATCAGGTCGCTGTTCAGCTGGTCTTCCGGACCACTCAGAGACCGGCTGCAGCCGTCGCTGGGAGCCAGCCAGGTCCAGGCGGCGAAGCCCACATCAGACCAACGGTCGGAATCGTATCACAGGAAGAGACCGCACTGAGTAGTGTTGCAACGGGGTGCACGCCGTGCAACGTGACGTGGCGTACTTTTAAGTGCCCCTCACATCCCACACCCCGTAATAACGCTTCAGGTGGAACCCAACACAGGGCACAAGTCCACGACCCTGGGACCCCACGTTGGGCGCCATCTATAGCGTTGCAACGGAACACACACCATGCAACATGACTTGGCGTATTTCGTAGTGTTCCTTACAGTGCGCACCCTGTTACAACGCAACAACTATTCATGGACCCTTAGAACCCGTGTTTTTCGTCGTTTTTCCGCTTGCTACAGATTCGCTGCCATCAGAGGTAGTGATGCTTTCTTCCACAACAGATTTCAACAGAAAGCCATTCCAATCCGAACAGCTGTGTCGGTCAGATAGCTGGTGGCTAAGCCATCACAACGACTGCTCGACTGGGCCGTCCTAGATCCCGGAGCGTCACTGTCTGACTAGAGCCTGGGACCGCCACTAAGTCCTGCCCTCGCCGGCGGGCCTCCACCGCCGCCGGCAGCACACACCTTGGCGCGGCGCTCGACCGGCAGAAGACGGCACAGCTGCTCTGACGTCACTGGCTGGTCGGCGTCGGTCAGGAGCAGCTCGGCGTAGCCGGCGATCTGCTGACACTCGCCGCATCTGCTGGTGTCGGAGAGCGTCCGACGCCCGACCGGCGCTGCTCGGGCGCGGGCGAGCCGAGTCAGCCGCGTGAATTGCGGGATTACCGGGTCAGACGCCAGGCATCAGATGTCAGACAGGTCAGACGCGGACATCGGGTCAGCCACCGGGTTAGACGTAAGGCCGCCGAGTCCGACTCGTCACACAGGTCACACGCGAGGGTAAGGCGGGTTAAACGGGTCAGATGGCAGGGCCAAACAGGTTATATGCCAGAGTCCGACGGATAAGACGCCAGCGTTAGACAAGTCAGGCGAAAGGGTCACACAGGTCAAATGCCAGGGTCAGGTAGGTCAGACAACAGGGTCAGACAGGTCAGATGAGAGAGTTAGATAGGTCAGACGCCAGGGCCAGACAGGGCAGATGCCAGGGTCAGGCACGTCAGACAGGTCAGATGACGGGGGTAGACAAGTCAGACACCAGGGTGAGATAGGTCAGATGCTAGGTCCAGACAGGCCGCACGCCAGGGTCAGACAGGTCCAATGTCAGGGCCAGACGGATCACACAGATCAGACATGGAAGTCACCTGGGCAGCTGATCGGTTGCTGATCGTGTTCACTCCCATCTCAAGTTACGCAAGTTGTTACGTCAGAGTTTCGGCTATAAGCCTTGGTCAATACGATTATCAGCAGTCAACTGCTGCTCATAAATCCCTAGAGCAAATTCCTGCTCTCTGGGTATACCGTAAGTACCCGTTTTGACAAAGGCATGGAGCTGAAACACGAAAGGAAATGTTTCACGTTTGAAGATATTGAAGCAGGCATCAGATACGATGAAACAAGCTCACTTATAATGATTTGGTACACCTTTTTAAGTGGAAAGGACTGCTCTAGACAGCACAATGCTCTATTTAGTACATATACTCCTCAACGCGTCATTGTTCCGTTACGTCATCGCATGTTGCACAACAATGATTAAAAGCCAATTGACGGCCGTTAAGTCTGGAAGTCGCGCTCACCAGCGCCAGATATGAACGACTCGGCAATCATATTTTTTGGTCTTGATCACCACATGGCTAATGGAGTGACAGCATTAAAATGGCATTATCATGGCCTCATGAATGCCAAGATGACGTTGAAGAAATACTTTCCCCGATATACCTTTCCCTATTTTGACAGGATTCTAGCTAAAATATTAGAGGGCTTAGGTCTCAAGAATCGCAGGAATGTGCACAGCACTGAAAGGTCGTCAAGATGGCTATTCCAGTTCAAAACCACATATCAATGTGGCACACTCCCTTCAATGCATCTATCTCTTCTGTCTCCTGGTTATTCGACAAAAAACAAGCGAACAGACCCATGTTATCCATCTGATCTTATCATTGGTCCACGTAGACTAAGTAAACAAGCTATCGGGTTGCCAGGGGCGCTAAGATTAAGAAAATGACTCTCCCAATGTTTTCTGATCTCGTACGCTGACAACCATTCTATAGACGCACACACATGCAATTCATTCTGTAGACGCACACACACACATTCTGTAGACGCACACACATGCAAAGACAACCTAACACAAATAAAACACAAAAACACAGGCGGACCGGCCACGCTACGGCGGACAGATTCCTGCATAATAGATGGAAAATGATGACTAAGTTATAAAAAAACGTCCCTGATTAAAAAACGGTCACGTGCGATACTGCACCGATACGGGTTTATATGGGCGATCAGCAACCTGACTCGCCGCGAGGATCAGGCGGGCAAAACAAAGCAGCAGCGAAGGAAATTGCATAAAATAGCTGCGCATAGTAGGCCATAAAACTGTCCAAGCTGAGCTGTATGTACTGTTCTTCACTCCATTTGCTTGGTATGCCTTTCTTTCTCGTAGCCTCATAACCTTATATTCGGTAGGCTGTGAATAGCCCGGCGCTGCACGCGGATCACCTGGTGTCATGAAGCGAAACTGCGAACTTCCGCGATACAATTTGCCTTAAAATATACGTGGTGTGGTAGCTTCATCATGTGGTGATTACGCACCAGAGACAAGCCGATTTACTTGACCTCGCGATCTTTAAGTCAATGACGAATAGGATGCTTCGATCGGTCAAAGTTGTCCTATTGGCGTCCTTCGGGCCTTACGACGCACGCAGCTGCTGAGGCTATATGGCGTCGCCTGCATCCCACTCTGGCAGGAACGGTGGACACCGCGGGGAACGCCATTCCCCTGGTTTCCCAGACGAGTAGTGGTTAACGCAGACGCGTTAACCGAGATTCGTACTCTCGTTTTATGAAACCGCGCCACAGTCAGTGGCGGCCGGCGAAGCCGCCCATGTGGAGGCCGGGGTTAGGGGTCGCGCAGCGGTGATCCGCCGGTGCTGGCCGCCAGAGGGCGCGCCTCACTCGCGGCAGCCCAGTCCGCGCACCCAGACGGTGAAGCCATTGTCTGTTTTCCGGGTGTGCTGTGAGACTCATGTGGGTGAGTCTCGTAGGCCGGGGATCATTGCCACAATACAACTCCACGTTACATTACGTCAAGGGATTCGTGCCTCATCCCGAAGCAAGCGATACGATTTCCGGAACTCACTTATGTTACACACATGCATGGAGAATCGGAAACAAACCTATTTTTTACACATGCCATCGTGACATCTAGGCAGGAGGGATGCGAACGCGCATCAGCTGATGTTTGCAGAAGTTAGACCGTAAGTCGTTCGTGTATCTCAAACTTACATACACAGGCACATGCCATGGTGCGACACGGCATACAGGCATCCTGCAAAATTTGAAAACCCAATGCAGTCTGCGCGCTAGCTTCCGCACTACGAGACCTACACGCATTTTCACCGTTCCGGACCTACAGTAACAAATTGAGGGTGATGGACAGCCTACACCTACAGTAACAGACTACTTACAGTAGGCTGGGCGAGGCGGACAGACGTGGGATCAGGGCTATGTGAAAGGCGCTGGCTGGCGCGGTGCGCGAGCATACCCAGGCCAGTCACCACGCGGCTGTGCCGAACAACGCTCAGCTCTGCTCAGTTCCGTTCTGCCAGTCCTGCCGGCACCGGCTCGTTCGCAGACAAATCCGCCTAACCTTCATCGCGGCAAACATGACCCATGCAGTCTCGCCTCTAGCCGTCATGCCCGACCGGCACCAAACCCTGATGAGGAGCGCTCCACAGCGGTAGCGGCTGCTCTCCCGAGAAACAGCGGCGCTACGTCGCACAGCGGCGGCCCCTCAGCCTGGTCACAACGCGACACTCCCCCAGAATACCGAGCTGTGTTGGGAGCCGTCACGGCGCTAACTGAGCTAAGACGGAGTCACACAGAGGGCGCTTCAGTGGAACGAATCAATATCACGAAAAGTGAACGGAGACGGCTAACTTGACATGGCGTGTTTCCGTGCGGATTCGGCGCGCTTCAATGCAGGCGGGTCACGGCCGTCAGCACTTCCCTCACGTGGTCGGCGAAGAAAACAAGAACAAGAGAGGTTTCTTCTGCCGGTACACCCGCAGACCGCGGTTGGCGGACGACCTGGCATGACCCCGACCTTTGACCCGCGGCCTGTGATGCAGTGACTCGAACCGATAGATGACGCATGGAGCGGTGTCACCGACAGTGACTCGAGTCACATCACCGACAGTGACTCGAATCAGGTCACCGGAAAGTAATTCGAGTCACGTCACAAACATAGTGACTCTAGCAACGCCACCGGAGTGACTCGGGCGACATCACCGGCAAAGTGACTTGAGTGACGTCACCGGAGCGCCTCGCCACGTCATCGACATAGTGACTCCAGCGACGTCACTGGCGGTGACTCAAGTGACATCACCCGCAATGACTCGAATCACGTCGCCCGGATTGACTCGATTCAAGTCACACATGGAGTAACTCGATTCGCGTGATCGGCAGTTATTCGAGCCACGCCGCTGGCAGTGACTCGAGTCACGTCATCGACAGAGTGACTCGAGTCACGCCACTGACGAGATTCAACGCTCGCTGCCCCCTCACCACTGAAAATGCCGTGTCGAGGTCATATTCATTCTTCTTGGCGCAACTACACGTTAACTAACAGAGCAGGCGCTGTTCCGGGCGACTTAGTCACCATTTATTGCCAGACGAACCGACGCGGGGACTGTGAACGCCTCAAACGCAATCGCTCTCACGCCTATCACACTGCTTCGGGACCGACCCACTAATGTTTGATTCTCTGACGCAACAGCTGATGACGTCCCGCGAGCAACTAGAGAGTGGCTGCCGACCACAGTTGAACGCCACCCCAATATCGGTGCAGAGCGCATGCGCGCCAGAAGCAGCTCAAGCTCGACACATGCGGTTGAGAACCCAGCCGTCAGCCTGCACGCGGCGCGGGCGGGCAGCGGCGCCCGCCCCGGACGCCCGCTCCGCGTCAGCAGCGCCTCACTCAAACCAGCGGCTCCCGATAGTGGCCGTGTATTGTTCCAGCGGAGGACAGAGAGTACAGAGGCCGGCGGCGGTACGGCGCCCGGGCGGTGCGGGCGGCGACACAGCAGGGCCGCGGCGGCGGCCGGGGTAGCGCCGCCAGCCGCCTCGCTACACATAGCGGGCGCAAACTGCACGGCCGGCATCAGCAGAGGCGCTGGGCGCCCCGCCGTCCGCTGTACAAGTGACGCGTCGCGTCGCCCCTCAGGCGAAACCCAGCCCCAAACCGCTCAGTCGATACCAGTGTGTCGACCCCAACCTGCTTAGAGATTCCTAGACCTTAGAAAAAGGCTTCCGCTCGAATAGACCGCCGCCCAGCTCTCACAAAGCCTGAGAAAATCACACCAATGGCTACCAATGAGTGCACTGTACTGCGGATTTAGTATCAGAAACATGTTGATATCATACACACTGTACGCAGCCAGCAGACAACCATCAAAACGCATTAAGGCCTCTACATCATAACCCTGCCGATATGTACAGACTCCACCAATCGAATAACTGTAGCCAGTACGCATCTGACCACCACACCACGAATTTCTCCGGCGCCGAGGATCCCGCTGCGGCCAAGCGCGTGCAGCTGTTTCGCAAGGCGCCTCCGCGTGCAAAGCCGACGCGCCGTTGTCAATCTCCGAGCGCACGCAGAACGCAGACGGGACCGGGCGGTTAACACATGACTCGGGCTCGGGCTCGGGCTTGGGCTTGGGCTCGGGCTCGGGCTCGGGCTCGGGCTCGGGCTCGGGCTCGGGCTCGGGCTCGGGCTCGGGCTCGGGCTCGGGCTCGGGCTCGGGCTCGGGCTCGGGCTCGGGCTCGGGCTCGGGCTCGGGCTCAGGCTCGGGCTCGGGCTCGGGCTCGGGCACGGGCTCGGGCTCGGGCTCGAGCTCGGGCTCGGGCTCGGGCTCGGGCTCGAGCTCGGGCTCGGGCTCGGGCTCGGGCTCGGGCTCGGGCTCGGGCTCGGGCTCGGGCTCGGGCACGGGTTCGGGCTCGGGCTCGGGCTCGGGCTCGGGCACGGGTTCGGGCTCAGGGCTCAGGGCTCAGGGCTCAGGGCTCAGGGCTCAGGGCTCAGGGCTCGGGCTCGGGCTCGGGCTCGGGCTCGGGCTCGAGCTCGGGCTCGGGCTCGGGCTCAGGGCTCCGTACCTCGCTGGGCGGTGCACAGCTGGAGCTCGGCGCAGACAGTGTCTGGGTCAGCGACGGCCGCCTTGATGGCGTCCAGCACGGGGGCGCCGTACTCGTCCACGAAGCCCTCGCAGTCCGCCTCGATCGACTTGGGCATGTAGGAGCAGACGTGCTTCAGGGCGTCCTCGATCTCCGCCTGCCACAGCCAGCCGGTCAGCCAGTCAGCCAGTTAGTCAGTCAGCCAGTCAGCCACAGCCAGTCAGCCATTCAGCCAGGGGCTCGGAGGACTGCGCCGGCGGCGGGCAGCAATACGACACTTGAAAGACCGTCTCGGACCAGCAATGCAGAACCCATCATCCATCAATTTTGTAAACATTTGTTTCTTCTTTTCATGCCCAAAAACTATCTAGAAAATTGCTTAACTGCTAGAGACGTTGACTGAAAAACTCGAGCAAAGCAGTTAAAGCACCAGAGAACATCAAACACCCGTACAACAAACACATGAAAGAGTACAGACTAAACAGGCACAGTTAGACAGGTGTCATCGCTAACAGCATGCCATTCAGCCGTGGGACGTGGTCCGGGCATGGTCGGTGACTCAGCAGATGGCGCCACTTGAATTCAGACCCTGCGGACCTCATCAATCATCAGCGGCAAGACTCACGTCAGTGGCGTTGTCATCCAGCTTCAGTTTCAGCTGCATCATGACGAACTCGCAGAGCACGCACACCGGCGACTGCCTGTCGTCGTCCTCGTCCTCGTCCTCGGCGTCGTCGTCGTCCTCCCCCTCCATGTCCTCGTCATCCTCCTCCTCGGCGGACGCCATCTGCGGCACCGGACGCCCGTGAGCGGGACCAGCCCCGCCACGCGCCGGACCCCATCCGCACGCAGCTGCACTCGTCCCACCGCCGACACGGCCCCGGACACAGCGTGAACGCAGCAACACTCGCACAGGTCACGGTCGGCGCATGCGCGTACAAGCACCCGACGGCCGGACGGCTTCCCAAATGTTCATATGCGATGCTACTATCAATGTTACTATATATATATGCGACACATATCACAATTCCTTAGCACATGGCCGCTCCATTACATGGTCCATCACAAGATGAATCCACAGGCGGACAGCAGCTGCTGCGGACGCGCTTCATTACAGGATCTCTGTCGCTGGCACTAGGAGAAACAGAGGGTACAATCCAGTCACTCCCCAGAGCATGCGTCGAGGGATCAGCCGTGATTCTGACGACGAAACTGTCACGTAACGTGACGTTAACCACGGGCGGTGACCACTGACAGACAGCCGGCGGTCGCCGCCGGGTCTCGTCCGTCGGACCGGCAGCGGGCGGGGAGAACTGACCACGCCCGGCTGCCAGACACAGCAGAACAGCGGAGGTGAGGCCGAGGGGAGCTGACCGAGGAGTATCGACCGGGGTGAGATTGAGGAGGAGCTGACAGAGGAGCGTCGACCAAGGTGAGGCCAAGGAGGTGACAGAGGAGCATCGAAATAGGTAAAGCCGAGGAGGAGCTGACTGAGGAGCATGAACAGCGGTGAGGCCGAGGAAAGACGGAGGAGCATCGACGGAGGTAAAGCCGAGGAGGAGCTGAATGAGGAGCATCAACAGATGTGAGGCCGGCGGCCGGTCGGCGCCTCACCAGGTCAGGCCGCTTGACGCGCGCCGGCAGGTACTCGGGCGGGTCCTCGTCGTCGGCCGGCGCCGGCAGCTGCTCGGGCTGACCCGGCTGGCGGAGCAGTAACACTGTCAGACGGCCCACCTCGCAGCGTCACGACCAGCTCAGCGCCAGGCGGCTACCGCACATACACGGACCCAGGCGCGCCGCAGCCAACTGTTTGAAGCCTATGTATGATGCTTTATATATGTACCGCATTGGGCAAACAAAACACGAAAAGCGCGTGACGCGCGTAGCTGTAAGCCAACGTGACTATAGCTGTACATCGACGCATCCGAAGGTATCTTTAGGGCTGATTAACGTTTCACTTAACCACACAAGATATTCGCACCATCACAGCCTCAGTCCTGTGGCCAAGCTAAGCCCACTCTGCGCCTATCGTCCGTCCTAACAGCCGGGACGTGTGACACTCCGTTCGACGAGCCCGTGACGTCCGTGACGCTCGTGACGCCCGTGACGTCCGTGACGCCCGTGGCGCTCTGAGCCGTCGGTCGGCCGGTCGGCTGACCGGGCGCTGCTCACCATGCGGGGGGAGTTGACGGGCAGGCCCGCCAACGGCGCCGCCAGCCCGGCGAACTGCATGCCGGACGGACCGGCGCCCTCCAACAGCGGCACCGAGTATATCGAGTTGGACACTGGCGGCGGAGGCGGACGGCGTCTCAGGACTCGGCAGCGGGCGGCGCGACACGGCCATCGCTGCACCAACTCATCAGCTCATCGCTCTCTTTGAGAGCAACTTACCCCGCCCACTTCAAACGTGTTCTAGCAAAGCAAGCGCCGCCTCGTTTAATCATTCAAATATTTGCCTATCCGCACGCGACCTGGATACCCCACCCGAGTCAGCTCCTCCCATCCCGCACAAGCATTTTCACCCCGCCCTCTCCACAGCCTCTCCCACGACCGCCTTTCATTCCCCATGCCTCCCCTCCCACAGCCTTCGTTTCTCTCCACACACACTCCTCGCTAACCCCCGCTTCCCTCAGTCACCCCGCTTCTGGCACCGCGCCTGGCTGGGGGCGGCCGCTCGCCTCCGCCGCGCCGCCGCGCCGCCGCCACTCACAGACGTCGTTGCGGCCGGCGTCGGCCACGCAGAGGCGCAGCATGACGCAGATCTCGTCGGCCGTCATACCGCTGACCAGCATGTCGATCAGCTCCTCCGTGAACGTGTTGACCAGCTCCTCACACTCGTGCGATACCGTGTGCGGCAGCATGTCGCACACGCGGTCCAGGGCGTCCCGGATGTCGCGCTGCGGAAGACGGCGGACACGTGACGCTCGCTCGGGATGGCCCGGCAGCCAGTGCCGATCTCACGGCGGCGCCAGGGGAACCGCGGGAGCTGACGCCCGCTGGAGGTGGCCAGCGGCAGCGACGCCGCACAGTCACCACTCTGTCCAGCGGCGGGCCGCCCAGACGAGCATCGTGCTCGGTGCAGACAAGCACTAACCAGACAGCCACGGTCTGGATGGTGGTGCCAGACAGTCACGGTATGGTGCCAGCCGTAGGCAACGTGCAACCATAGATAAGACAGCATCGTCTTTGAGTGGAACTACCAAGGTTTTCCGCCAGCCGGCACACTTCGATCAGTCCCGCGTTAAGATAGAGTACTTGTATGTGTGCGTAAAGACGACGGCATCGTCTTTAAATGGGATTACTGAGGTTTTTCGCCCGCCGGAACCCTACGACCAGTCTTGCGTTTAAAGAGTAGTTGTGTGCGTGCGTTAAGACGTACTGCGTCCTTCCCGCGTCCTAGGGGCAAGCCGGTCATGTGATCGTCACTCACTCCTCGTCGTCCCATTGACCCTTTTGACCTTGGCGCCGGCCAACACGGTACACATGCCCACCTCGGTCTTCTTGTCCTTAAGGTAGTCGAGCAGGGTGTTCATGGCGTATTCACAGATGGCGCAGCCGGGCGCCTCGTCCACACGCTCCTCGGAGGATAGCTGCTCGGAGGACTCAGACTCCTCCAGTGAAGCCTCCGTGTCCGGCAGCGGACACAGTCGCAGTGCCGGGCACACCTGGTGACGACACCAGGTGAACGGTTCACCGCCGCCGCGTCACAACATCACGACACGCGCGCGCTAGTGTCATCACCAGAGCATTGGCACCTAGCGTCACGCGCACCAGAGCCGATCATCACGAGCGCGTCACACCACGTCACGCACAAGTACCAATTACCACACGCACACCTTCTCATAACGTGTGTGTCATTGGGGCTTTACGACGCTCTCGGCCGCTGGGGCTATATGGCGTCGCCTGTCTCTCACCCTGACAGGAAGGGCGGGCACCGTGGGGAATCGAGCCCCGTACCTCTGGTTTCCCAGACACGTAGCGGTTAACGCAGACGCGTTGACACGCACACGTCTCATCGTCATGATAAGGGCGCCACAGAACCGCACAGTCGAGGAATCCGAGAACGCTCCGATAACCAAATATCACGACGGATGCCCGACGAAGAGATCTAGACGAAATCACAATGCTCCCACACCTCTCTCACCTCACCTCACACACCTCTCACCTCACCCTACATACCTCCCACCTCTCCTCACACACCTCTCACCTCTCCTCACATGCCTCCCAACTCTCCTCACTCATCTCCCAGCTCACCCCACACACCTCTCTCACCCCACACACCTCTCACCTCTCCTCACACGCCTCACAACTCACCTCACGCATCTCCCACCTCACCTCACCTCACGCATGTCTCACCTCACGCACCTGTCACCGCACACCTCACGCACCTCTCGCCTCACCTCACACGGATCTCATCACCGCGCGCCGCAGCCGCGGCCGGCCGCCCCCTCACCTCGCTGGGGTCGATCTCCTGTGCCAACATGGTGATGATGAAGTCGCCGTAGGTGGCGACGAACTTGTTGCAGCGGTTGGCCAGCGTGCGCGGCAGCAGGTGGCAGAGGCGGCCCACCTGCTCAGTCAGCTCGTCCTGGCCGGTCGGAGGCAACGGTCAGGAGCGCCGGTCAGGACCATCCGCCAGACGCGGCCCGCCGCCCGTGGGGCTGACACAGGCGGGCTCGCCGCTCGTGGAGCTGACACAGGCGGACTCGCCGCTCGTGGAGCTGACACAGGCGGGCTCGCCGCTCGTGGAGCTGACACAGGCGGACTCGCCGTTCGTGGAACAGACACAGGCGAGCCACACACGCTACAGCACACACTCGTTCGCAACCCGTCCAGTTATGACTTCCATGGAGGAAAATTCGTTTCCTTATGAGTGAGTGAGCACAGAGTGGACAAATTCCAAAGCCAGAGAAAACTACCGTCACGCGAGTACACGTAGTGTGCGAACTGATACCCTACTGATACAGTTAACGATCGCTGTTCGTTATCGAATTTACAGCGGCCAGTTCAAAGGGGCATAATAGACTAATCATGCCGTCAAAGCCCTTCGCGTGTCAAAATGTCAACCATCGTTCAGGCACAGCCAACCATGTTGACCAGCCAACCACGCTAGTCCGTCAACCAATACCCCCCCCCCCCCCCCTCATAATGCAGGGGCGCGCCCGACCGACGTGCGACAGCGCGGCAGCCGCTGGAAAGTATCGAGCACGGCCGAGGCGAGTGGCCCAGCCAGCGCGGCGCCCGCCTTATCTGCGACAGGCACGACCACGCGGGACGACATCGCCGCGTTCGCACGCGCGCCACCACCGCAGCGCCACGCCGCGCCGCGACGCGCCGCGCCGGCAGCCGGCCGGCCGCGGCGGCCGCGGCGGGCGCGCGGCCAGGAGCCTCACCTCTGTCGCGTCCTCCATCAGCACCTTCCGCAGCTCCTGCAGGCCGAATTCGCAGATGTCACAGAGCTCGGTGTTGCGCTGGAAGAGGCCGCTCATGTCGGGCAGGCCCAGCCGCGAGAGCGGCAGCTGGCCGACGGGCAGCACCTCGGCAGCAGGTATAGGAGAGCCCTCCAGCGGGTTAGGGTGCGCCACTGTCGGGGGAGGGGCGTCAGGTCACGCTATCGCACAGAGAGCACCGGGCGGCCTCAGGTGCCGCACTGTCGCACAGTGAGCACCGGGTGGCCATAAGTGCCACACTGTCCCTGTAAGATGAGAGAGCACACACAGACACTGTAAGATGAGAGAGCACAGGGTGGCCTCAGGTGTCACACTGCTCCACAGAGAACAACAAGTGGCCATAAGTGACACACTGTCGCACAGAGAATGTTGGGCGGCCTCAGGTGCCACACTGTCGCACAGAGAGCACCGGGCGGCCTCAGGTGCCGCACTGTCGCACAGTGAGCACCGGGTGGCCATAAGTGCCACATTGTCCCTGTAAGATGAGAGAGCACAGGGTGGCCTCAGGTGTCACACTGCTCCACAGAGAACAAGTGGCCATAAGTGACACACTGTCGCACAGAGAATGTTGGGCGGCCTCAGGTGCCGCACTGTCGCACAGTGAGCACCGGGTGGCCTCAGGTGCCACAAAGCCGATGTGTGATTCGGAGATTTGACTTATCATGGGCTTCGCCACGCGTGGCTGCGAGGGACAACGCTGCGTCTACCGCGTGTTACCATGCGCACTGCGGCATCACGAATCACAAAAGATGACTTTTGACACGGAGCCTGAAGATGACGTGATGAATGCTGACACATGATGAAGATGAGTGGAATACCACTCGGCGTGCGCGACTCCCTTCGACCCGCCGCCGCGGGTCAAAGGCGGTCCCTCCACTACTACCTACCCCCCCCCCCCTTACTCCCCCTGAGCCTCTGCGCTCAGAGCAGCCGGCTCAGTCGTCCACTCACGGCCATCGTTGCCGTAGGCGCGGGGCGGCGACTTCTTCAGCTGGACGTGGTGCAGCTTCGGGACCTTCTGCACGGGGCTCTTCTCCAGGGCCACTGCCGGAGGGCGCAGGGGCGGCGGTCACACACGCAGCGCCAGCGCCGCAGCACGGCCCCGTGTCCCCGCCGGCGGCCGTACAGCCGTTCCACACGCGAGGGGCCAGCTGGCGGGCGCTCCGCTCGGGCGGTGGGCCAGCCACGAGGGGCCTAGCGATCCCGTGACAGAAGCACCCGGTCACAGCACACTCCACCGCTGGCTGCCCGGTCCCCTTCTGACATGACCACGATCAGGCCCTCTCCCCGCCTCCCAGCCGGCTGTCTTAACCAGGACAGACCGGCGGCGTGCGGCGGCGGCACCACTCACCGGTGTGCAGCTCTTGCGGCGGGGTGAGCTTGGCCAGCGGCATCTCCAGCGACGGCTGCAGGCGGAGCAGCGGCTGCGCGCCGAGCACAGCGGCCGCCTCCGAGCCGGCCGGCACCACGGCCCCCAGCGGCACCGACTGCGAAACGGCGGCCGGTCAGACGGGGTCAGAGGGATAGAACAGACCGACGGCGGTCTGTGAGACGGGGTCAGAGGGACAGACAGACCGATTGAGAGGTCAGACGGGGCCAGAAGGACGGCCCAGACTGACGGGGGCCGGTCAGATGGGGTCAGAGGGACAGACAGACCGACTGAGAGGTCAGACGGGGTCAGAGGGGCGGACAACCTAAACAGCATACATGAGCACAAACAAGCAGGTCAGCACTGCACTCAGAAAAGAGCTGGCCCACAGAGGAGACAATGCGAGCGGCCCGTGGATGTTATGACGGAAAGGTGTGCCAGTCATTACACCACCTTCCCTTTCCCACTCCTGTGCGATACAAAAATGCACAGGTACGGACGGTACCAACATCACGCATGCTCACGGGAATCCTGAGTGAACACCTGGACCACAGCTGCTGGTCAGTTCCATCCACGACCTTTTGATCTTAACGTCCATACTCCATCACTAAATACGTCTCCGTACACAACACCATGCGGTACGGTGACGGAAGCTTCAGCCGTGGGACAATGCTAACAACCTCACGCCCTCAACCCCGCACTCCTCCCCTCCTCCCACAAACCACAAGCCCTTCGCTCCCAAACGCCCGCACGGTTTCCCACCTCCCTCCCCGCCACCTTCCCAGATAGACTCGCCTGGCCAGCTCCCTCCCCCGCCGCCACCTCCCGATGGACTCGCCTGGCCGGGCTGATCAGTGATCACACACCGCACAGTACACACATGACCCGCGCAGCCTCCCCCGGACACGGCCGGGTGAACTCGCCTGGCCGGGCTTGGAGCACAGGCCGATGGCCTTGCAGATGGTATGCGCGCGCATCTGGTTCACCAGGTAATCGTAGATCACTTCGTAGTACTCGTTCACCAGCTGTGTGCACTGCAGCAGATACCCGTATGGGTCAGAGTGCATGATGATGGTGCATTTTGTTCCGTGAGCTGTGAATCGTCTCCACCCGCCACAGACCAGCTTTAGGTCATTCACACTGGCTGTTTATTATCAATGGGCGAAACGGGACTACGTGCGCTTAGCCAAAGCCCACGAGTTCATAGCCGTAGTCCACATCAATAGCTACTGATTACTTTAACAGGCTATCAATGTCAGACAGTTCATAACTTTCCCCGCATCGAGGGAAACCTTTGTATTCGAATTCGCATCGTAACCATGACGCCCCACGCCGCACCAACTGGCGCGTACCTTGGGCGCCCAGGCCTTGGTCTTGGAGCAGATGCCGTCCAGGATCTCCTTGAACTCCTCCTTGGTCGTGTTGGCCACCAGGATGTCCCGCCAGTGTTTCACGATGTGGATACAGAGATCGCAGTCCACGGCCGGGCCCGTCGCCGTCAGCTGCAGCGGCTGCACAGGATAGAAAAGGAATCAGTCAGCTGCAGCAGCTGGACACAACAGAAGGCTGCTCAGTCAGCTGCGACGGGTGGACAGGACAGAGAGCTGTTCAGTTAGCTGCAGCGGCTGGACAGGACAGACAGCAGCTCAGTCAGCTGCAGCGGCTGGACAGGATAGAGAGCCGCTCAGTCAGATGCGGCGGCTGGACAGGACAGAGAACTGTTCAGTCAGCTGCAGCAGCGGACAGGACAGACAGCAGCTCAGTCAGCTGCAGCGGCCGGACAGGACAGAAGGCTGTTCAGTCAGCTGCAGCAGCTGTACACGACAAGAGGCTGTTCAGTCAGCTGCAGCACGGGACGGCAGGGAGTGCAGACAGTGTGACACACGCTTCTGGGAGGCGCCACCTGCGCCTGCGGCACGCCTCTGGTCTGAAAACCCTCACCAGATGGCAGCACAGGCTGTTCCTCAGCTGGAGCCACAGGGCCCCGCCTGGCCAGCCTCCCCCAACCATGCTCGAGTGTGAGGAGTGGGCTCACACCTGAAACCCGCTAAAGGTCTGCCGTACACATCGCATAGCGGAAGATCAACTGTGCGAGCACGTAAATGCATACCCGCTGCAAGGAAGAGATCCCGCCTCCTACAGTCGCCTGGCGTGCATCCTTCGAAACCGGGTCCCTGATCCGGGCCGCGGCGCTCCGCGTCCCACCTCTGGCATTATCATTGTTCACCCACCGAATCTCCCATCTGACATGGTCACCTTCGCCTCAGAGTCCCGCCTCAAGCAATATCATTGTCCACCCCCGGAATCTCCCCCTGACATGGTCACCCCCCCCCGTTCCCCTCTGAAATATTCACCGCTCCCTCCCCCCCCCCCCCCCCACCCCTCTGACATGATCGCCATCTCCCCTCCGACTCCCGCCTCTGACATGCCCACCACTCACCCCACAGCTGCCAGCTTGCCATGCTCACCGTCTCGTCGAAGAGGCCGGGACAGGCGTTGCCCAGCAGACAAATGCCGTCCGTGTCCAGCTCGGCCACCCACTGGTAGATGACGTCGATGTGCGCGGCCAGATCGCCGGCGCAGGCGTCACTGTACGACCCCAGGTCACGGCAAACCTGCGGCGGCGGGGCGGGAGTGAGCGACGGCGGCGGGGCGGGAGTGAGCGACGGCGGCGGGGCACGAGTGAGCGACGGCGGCGGGGCGGGAGTGAGCGACGGCGGCGGGGCGGGAGTGAGCGACGGCGGCGGGGCGGGAGTGAGCGACGGCGGCGGGGCACGAGTGAGCGATGGCGGCAGGGCACGAGTGAGCGATGGCGGCGGGGCACGAGTGAGCGATGGCGGCGGGGCACGAGTGAGCGACGGCGGCGGGGCGGGAGTGAGCGACGGCGGCGGGGCACGAGTGAGCGACGGCGGCGGGGCACCAGTGAGCGATGGCGGCGGGGCACGAGTGAGCGACGGCGGCGGGGCGGGAGTGAGCGACGGCGGCGGGGCACGAGTGAGCGACGGCGGCGGGGCACCAGTGAGCGATGGCGGCGGGGCACGAGTGAGCGACGGCGACGGGGCATGAGTGAGCGACGGCGGCGGGGCACGAGTGAGCGACGGCGGCGGGGCGGGAGTGAGCGACGGCGGCGGGGCACGAGTGAGCGACGGCGGCAGGGCACGAGTGAGCGACGGCGACGGGGCACGAGTGAGCGATGGCGGCGGGGCACGAGTGAGCGACGGCGACGGGGCGGGGCACGAGTGAGCGACGGCGGCGGGGCACGAGTGAGCGACGGCGGCGGGGCACGAGTGAGCGACGGCGACGGGGCGGGAGTGAGCGACGGCGACGGGGCACGAGTGAGCGACGGCGGCGGGGCACGAGTGAGCGACGGCGGCGGGGCACGAGTGAGCGACGGCGACGGGGCGGGGCACGAGTGAGCGATGGCGGCGGGGCACGAGTGAGCGACGGCGGCGGGGCACGAGTGAGCGACGGCGACGGGGCGGGAGTGAGCGACGGCGACGGGGCACGAGTGAGCGACGGCGGCGGGGCACGAGTGAGCGACGGCGACGGGGCGGGAGTGAGCGACGGCGACGGGGCACGAGTGAGCGACGGCGGCGGGGCACGAGTGAGCGACGGCGACGGGGCGGGAGTGAGCGACGGCGACGGGGCACGAGTGAGCGACGGCGGCGGGGCACGAGTGAGCGACGGCGACGGGGCACGAGTGAGCGACGGCGGCGGGGCACGAGTGAGCGACGGCGGCGGGGCGGGAGTGAGCGACGGCGGCGGGGCACGAGTGAGCGACGGCGGCGGGGCGGGAGTGAGCGACGGCGGCGGGGCACGAGTGAGCGACGGCGGCGGGGCGGGAGTGAGCGACGGCGGCGGGGCACGAGTGAGCGACGGCGGCGGGGCACGAGTGAGCGACGGCGGCAGGGCACGAGTGAGCGACGGCGGCAGGGCACGAGTGAGCGACGGCGACGGGGCAGGAGTGAGCGACGGCGGCGGGGCACGAGTGAGCGACGGCGGCAGGGCACGAGTGAGCGACGGCGGCGGGGCACGAGTGAGCGACGGCGGCGGGGCGGGAGTGAGCGACGGCGGCGGGGCGGGAGTGAGCGACGGCGCGGGCGGGAGTGAGCGACGGCGGCGGGGCACGAGTGAGCGACGGCGGCGGGGCGGGAGTGAGCGACGGCGGCGGGGCACGAGTGAGCGACGGCGGCGGGCGGAGTGAGCGACGGCGGCGGGGCACGAGTGAGCGACGGCGGCGGGCAGGAGTGAGCGACGGCGGCGGGGCACGAGTGAGCGACGGCGGCGGGGCACGAGTGAGCGACGGCGGCGGGGCGGAGTGAGCGACGGCGGCGGGGCACGAGTGAGCGACGGCGGCGGGGCACGAGTGAGCGACGGCGGCGGGGCGGGAGTGAGCGACGGCGGCGGGGCACGAGTGAGCGACGGCGGCGGGCACGAGTGAGCGACGGCGGCGGGGCGGAGTGAGCGACGGCGGCGGGGCACGAGTGAGCGACGGCGGCGGGGCACGAGTGAGCGACGGCGGCGGGGCGGGAGTGAGCGACGGCGGCGGGGCACGAGTGAGCGACGGCGGCGGGGCAGGAGTGAGCGACGGCGGCGGGGCACGAGTGAGCGACGGCGGCGGGGCACGAGTGAGCGACGGCGGCGGGGCACGAGTGAGCGACGGCGGCGGGGCGGGAGTGAGCGACGGCGGCGGGGCACGAGTGAGCGACGGCGGCGGGGCACGAGTGAGCGACGGCGGCGGGGCGGGAGTGAGCGACGGCGGCGGGGCACGAGTGAGCGACGGCGGCGGGGCACGAGTGAGCGACGGCGGCGGGGCAGGAGTGAGCGACGGCGGCGGGGCACGAGTGAGCGACGGCGACGGGGCAGGAGTGAGCGACGGCGGCGGGGCACGAGTGAGCGACGGCGGCGGTGCACGAGTGAGCGACGGCGGCAGGGCAGGAGTGAGCGACGGCGGCGGGGCACGAGTGAGCGACGGCGACGGGGCAGGAGTGAGCGACGGCGGCGGGGCGGGAGTGAGCGACGGCGGCGGGGCACGAGTGAGCGACGGCGACGGGGCAGGAGTGAGCGACGGCGGCGGGGCGGGAGTGAGCGACGGCGGCGGGGCACGAGTGAGCGACGGCGACGGGGCACGAGTGAGCAACGGCGGCAGGGCACGAGTGAGCGACGGCGGCAGGGCAGGAGTGAGCGACGGCGACGGGGCAGGAGTGAGCGACGGCGACGGGGCGGGAGTGAGCGACGGCGGCGGGGCACGAGTGAGCGACGGCGGCAGGGCACGAGTGAGCGACGGCGACGGGCGAGTGAGCGACGGCGACGGGGCGGGAGTGAGCGACGGCGACGGGGCAAGAGTGAGCGACGGCGGCGGGGCGGGAGTGAGCGACGGCGGCGGGGCGGGAGTGAGCGACGGTGGAGCGGCGGGAGTGAGCATCGGCGACGGGGCAGGAGTGAGCGACGGCGGCGGGGCGGGAGTGAGCGACGGCGGCGGGACGGGAGTGAGCGACGGCGGCGGGGCGGGAGTGAGCGACGGCGACGGGGCAGGAGTGGGCGACGGCGGCGGGGCAGGAGTGAGCGACGGCGGCGCAGCAGGAGTGAGCAAAGGCGACGGGACGGGAGTGAGCGACGGCGGCGGGACGGGAGTGAGCGACGGCGACGGCGCGGGAGTGAGCGACGGCGACGGGGCAGGAGTGAGCGACGGCGGAGCGGCGGGAGTGAGAAGCGGCGGAATGGCAGGAGTGAGCGACGGCGGCGGGGCAGGAGTGAACAACGGCGGCGCGGCAGGAGCGAGCGCCGGCGGCCCTGCAGAAGTGAGCGGCGGCGGCGCGGCATGGACTCATGGACAAAGACGGCACAAGGTTCGGCCCTGTGCTGCACGTTCACTCCACGTGGGGTGAAACTGACACGCATCAATACTTTATCTTCAGTCTGAGCTTTACTACAGCGCCTGATCATAGAAAACTTGGGCGACAATTTAATTGAGTCTCACTGATAGCGTGCCTCCTCCCTCCAACCCCACACGCAATATCCATCCCAACATCTGGGGCCAGTACTCAGCTGAATCTCGGGGTATCGCTACAGAGCGGCTACGGACCATTCTCGCCAGACGTTTTCACGCTGACGAGCTTTCCCTCACAATCACAGTGGAACACTAACGTTTCCGTGGGTGAACCGTTTCGATCCCCTCCACTGACGTCACTTTTCCTACATGCTGACATCCCATATCGGGGCCGTTGAATAATGCTTATTAGTAATACCAACTGACAGTTTCAAAATCGAAGCTAACCTCTCCCCACCGCAGACACTCAAAAAGTTGTTCTGGGTGGAAAATAGCATGCGCACGTCATTGATCTACAACCATGCCAAAACAAAACAAAAACTTTTAAGGCCCAACTCCCACCGACCTCAGCGGGACCTCCAGCCATGGGCTCATGCACAAGCTCACGTACCGGCAGCAGGCTGTCCAGCAGCTGCTGCTGCCCTCCAGCGGCCACATGCTGCTTCAAAGCTGTCGTCTTCTGCTGACAGGTGGCGCACGCGTCAGCCGGTTTCTCCGCCAGCTTCTGCAAAGGAAGCCCCACTGGACGTTATAAGCCGGGTCACACGGGCGACCGCCCCTCTGTCGCGACCAGAAATAACCGGCGAGCCAAGCCTCAATAGCGTGTCACCCACAGTGGGTCTTCGGCATCCGCCGCCGCCTCTGAACACGGCTGCCGCGTCACAAGCAGACCAAAACCGGCGCCACACGCCCGCCCCCACTCCGACCCGCTTGTCAGCTGGCGGCAAAACGGCGAGAATCGTCGCAGAAAAGCGCGCTGGAGCGTTGTCCGCGCCTCGCCCGCGGAAGCCTGCCCGCCGGAAGCGCTACACACCAGTGGAGGGGAGGAGGGGAGGAGGGGAGGGGGCGTGGCGTCACGGAGCGCAAGGCACGCACGGACGGCCGTGAGTCACGGCCCGTGACGCCCGGCGCGCTGGCAAAGGGCGCGTCCGCACGTGACGGCGCCGGCAGACAGTGTCGACCACCGGCCACAGCAGGCACAGTCATCTGTGGGCTGTAGCAGGCAGAGTCGACCACCGGCCATGGCAGGCACAGTCATCTGTGGGCTTTGGCAGGCAGGGTCTACCACCGGCCACACCAGGCACAGTCATCTGTGGGCTATAGCAGGCTGGGTCGACCACCGGCCATGGCAGGCACAGTCATCTGTGGGCTATAGCAGGCTGGGTCGACCACCGGCCATGGCAGGCACAGTCATCTGTGGGGTACAGCAGGCAGAGTCGACCACCGGCCACAGCAGGCACAGTCATCTGTGGGCTATAGCAGGCAGAGTCGACTATCGGCTCCGGCAGGCCGAGCCGGCGATTGGCTTCGGCGGGCGGGGCCGAGAGCCGGCTGCAGCAGATACCGTGGCCTGTCAGCCATCGCGGGTCAAGGACCGGTGGGAGAAAGCGGGTCCGCACCGCCGGTGGAGCACATGGCCAGACGCCTTATTTATTCTGGGACGTGGCGTGGGCGCCTGCTCTATTCCGTGCAGCTTGAGAAAGAATGTGATCTGACGCAAAATGATCGTGCAATATCCACAAATGTTGCTCGAGAATCGAGCACACCAGCATGGTCATGCCGCACTGCAATGGAGCGGATAGGCACCAGGAGCGAACATTATCTTCGCCCGGTTATCACAAATCGTTCGCGATACGACGATACGCGACAACTAGCTGACTGACGGTGGCAAGAACACAGTTTTCCGCACGCTCCTTTGCAGCACAACGACGCCGACCGAGGAAGCCGCCTATCCACGTCGGAGAAACGCCACGGGACATGACTCACAGAGCCCTGAGCGGAGCCCTCACGCGTGGCAAAACAGCGGACGTGCGGCCGCCGCTGGCCGGCCGGGCGGCAGAGTCGCGTAAGTGCGCGACAAAGGCAATTGGCCCGATTGTCAGGACGTCGGCTCATCAGGGGGAGCTCCGGGGCCGACGACGAGCACCAGAGCGGGACGGACGGCGGCGCGTGGCCTCGTCTGCAGCGGCGGCCGTGCCACGCGCCCGGCGGCGGAGAACCTGACACGAACAAAGGCGCCTGACTGAACTCTAAACATTGGATCCCAACGCGCACCGAACGCTGGTCTCTGGTCGTTGAGCACGGCTGCCAACATGAGCCGCCATCCCGTGGCCGTCAGCTGACCATGTGACGCATCCGATTCGCCCCGGGCCAGGCTGCACCGGGGTATCCCGCCCCATCCCCACACCCTTCCGGAAGTCCCTCAACGGACAGGTGAGCTCGCTGACATCCCGCGACTGACGACCACCTCCCCGCGCGTCCCTGGACCGATGTCCGTCATCCGTGCGTCCCTGGACCGACGTCCGTCATCCGCGCGTCCCTGGACCGACGTCCGTCATCAGCACGTCCCTGGACCGACTTCCGTCATCCGCGCGTCCCTGGACCGACTTCCGTCATCCGCGCGTCCCTGGACCGACGTCCGTCATCCGCGCGTCCCTGGACCGACGTCCGTCATCCGCGCGTCCCTGGACCGACGTCCGTCATCCGCGCGTCCCTGGATCGACGTCCGTCATCAGCACGTCCCTGGACCGACGTCCATCATCCGTGCGTCCCTCAGCCGACCACCGCCAGTGCAGCCACCGCCGAGCCGCGCCGGAGTCATAGCCTGGCGGGTGAGCCCGCTGCCCGACGCCGTGGCCGCGCACGGGCGTGACAGGGCCGGACCAGAGGGCCGCTTCCGGCGGGCGAGCCCGGCCCCGCCGCCAGCGAGCCGGCGGCACGTGACAGCGGCGACCCTCGCTCCCGGAGCGGCACGGACGGACGGGGGGGGGGGGGAAGGGCAACACAATCCGAGCGGGCAGGCACACCGCGGCAGCCGCCTTGGCGCCCCGGCGGCGCTGTGGCGCTCGACACCAGCCGGCGGTGCCCTGTCCGCCGGCCGGCCGGCACCGCGGAGACCGCACGTGACGGCGCTCCGTCAGCCCGCCGCGGCCGGCACAGCTGCGGCCGGCCGAGCGCTCCGTCAGCCCGCCGCGGCCGGCACAGCTGCGGCCGGCCGAGCGCTCCGTCGGCCCGCCGCGGCCGGCACAGCTGCGGCCGGCCGAGCGCTCCGTCAGCCCACCGCGGCCGGCACAGCTGGGGCCGGCCGAGCGCTCCGTCGGCCCGTCGCGGCCGGCACAGCTGCGGCCGGCCGAGCGCTCCGTCGGCCCGTCGCGGCCAGCACAGCTGCGGCCGGCCGAGCGCTCTGTCAGCCCGCCGCGGCCGGCACAGCTGCGGCCGGCGGACGCACAGCGCCGACTGCCGGCAGCCGGGTCAGGGGTGCCCGCGTCTAGCAGACGCGACGGCCGGCACCGCCGCCACGGATGCGATGTCGCTCCGCGTGTGGAGTCAAGCACCAGATGAGCTGATTGCGATGGGAGAGGGGAGGCGCGGGCGAGGCTACAGTGTAGTCCAAGGTTTCCAGGAACCACGCACGCCAGTTCTTGTGTGCTCGTTATGTGGTGGCACTTGACCGGCTCGCAGACAGCTGGCTTTCTTGTTCTGAGAAGCCCAAATGGCACGGCACACTCACAACAACACTCTCTGTTCAGTTTCGGGACTAACCATTGACATCAACATCGGTCAGCCAAGTGGTCTAGCGTTGTGCGGCGACGTCCAGTCTAGCGTTGCGGACGCAACTGTCGGGACCAGCTGGTTGCGGCATCCAAATCGCAGGCAGTGACCTGCCATCCCTTCCGCAACTGCGCACATCAAACGGCCTACGGGAGAGGTCCGATGGGGCCGTCTCTCGCGGTGGATCCGGCGGGACCGACCACTGCCCGGTGGGCCGGGGCCCACTACGGGCAGCGGCTGGCACACTCACCTTGTGGCTCCGATCCTCCAGCAGCTTGTCAACCCGCGGAGAGTTGCACAGTCCGGCCGTCTGGCACACCACCTGACACACAGACACGCATGGTGTCAGCTGACAGCCTGGGTGCAAGTGAAGGGAACAGCACGCCAGCAAGGCGACATAACACAGCTTCTGTCTCGTCGACAAATATATGTCGCAAATAAGCGGTGACACTATGCCTTGTACAGCGATGACACCATGCCCAGTATAGCGATGACACTGTCCGGTGCAGCGATGACACTATGCCTGGCACAGCAGTGATACGCTGTCTGGTGCAGCAAGCAGGACATCCCGTGAGCTCGGTTCATTCTGGCACAAATCCGACTGTCTGTGTGCATCGCACCGATAACCGACGAAAAACGTCCGATGCGGCAAACAAAAGCCGGCAGCGTTTCCCGCGCGGGCGCGCACGAGTCCCGCTAAAAAGGCCGCAATCAAAACACGGGTCACACAAACCCGCCGGTACGCAACGGCGCCGATATTCGCATTGTAACAACGAGAGCGGCAGCTGGAAAGCCATACTGATGCACACAAACCCGCCGATGTTCAGCATAGCGCACGCCCACCGGGCGACTCTTGGTGACCAATTTAAGTCAACGCATTCCCGGGGCTACTAAGGTGCGCGAACGGCCAAAAAGGTCTGAGCAAAACGACTGCAGCGACTTAAACTTAAAAAGCAAATGCACAGCAGCTCCAACTGCTAACAAGCACCGCCGCTGCTTGCGTGGTTGCAGATCATCGGAGCCCGGGTCCGCATCGTCGGCCCCGAGCGGTGTTTTGGAGCCGGCGCGGCGGCCGCTGCGCAGCCCCCGTTCCCGAGCTGGGCAGGGTCGGCTGCAGCCGGCGGCCGGGCCAGCCCCGGGCCATGCGTCACCGCCCGCAGCGGCCGCACATGTGCCCCAGTTATGTTTAGCTAGTGGCGCAGCGGCCGCCGGGCAGAGACTGTGCGGCAGGACACGTTGCGACGCACACAAGCCGCGGCGTGTTGGCGCCGCGCCCGTGGCGCCCCCTCCCCCTCCCATCCTCGTCCCAGCCTGTGGCTGCTGAGGTCATTGGTGTCACGAGCTCTGGCGCTGCCTGGCTCGTCTCTGGTCCGATAAACAAGCCGCCGTCAGCGTCACCGTCCAGCTCGGAGGTCAGGGATGATACACATACCCGACCGCGAACCTCCGGCCCGCCGGCCGCATGTCACGGCGCTCTCGCCCGCTGCTCCCCTCCCGGTCAGCCCCGTCCGGCCCGCCGGGCCGATGAAACGACGCTCTCGCCCGCTGCTTCCCTCCCAGTCTTTTCCCTCATGAAACGGCGCCTCTCCCTCCCTCCCTCGCACCACGCTCCCGTTCGCCCCCTGTCTGGCCCGCCGGGCCCATGAAACGACGCCTCTCCCTCCCTCCCTCTCTCGGACGCTGCTCCCAGACATCCCCTGTCCGGCCCGCCGGCTGCACGAGACGGCGCCTCTCCCCTCCATCCCTCGGACCCTGCCCCCGGACACCCCCTGTCCGGCCCGCCGGGCTAATGAAACAACACCTCTCCATCCCTCCCTCGGACCCTGCTCCCGGACACCCCCCTGTCCTGCCCGCCGACTGCACGAGACGGCGCCTCTCCCTCCCTCCCTCCCTCCCTCGGACCCTGCTCCCGGACACCCCCTGTCCGGCCCGCCGGCTGCACGAGACGAACAAGCCGCCTCTTCCCTCCCCCCCCCCCTCGGGCCATGCTCCTGGACACTCCCTGTCCGCCCCGCCGGGCCCATGAAACGACGCCTCTCCCTCCCCTCCTCTCTCGCGATCTGCGCCGGGCCGGGCCGGGCCGGTGAGTCACACGGTGACGCGGCGTGACGTCCGCCGGCCGGCTGGTGACCACAGCCGGGCCGGCCGGGCTCCGGCGGAGAGCTGACGACAGCTCGCGACCCACCGGCGCTCGCAGGCGTCAGGCGGTCAGTCCACAACCGGGCCGGCTCGCGCTCACGACGACCTCGTGCTCCCCAGCACGTGTGGACAGCGAGTGAGCGCCACGACTTCTGTCTGCAGTAGCGTTTCGGTGGTTGCGTTTTCGAGCACCGGCCCTTCGGCAGGCAACGACGCCAGTGAAGACATGCGGATTCCCGATATGAAAGGCGTTCCGTCCAGAATGGCATACCGGTGCTCCTGTCAGATGCGCGCCACGCTTAGAAACGCGCGACGTGACCCCCGGAGGGTGTGGGCGCTGACTACACAGCGGACGACGGCGTGCAGGGAATATTCCGTTGCAACATCCCGCACCAACTGCTCCGTTCCATCTTATAAATCGCGAACGCCTACTTCCCTGCTGCCGCGTGCAGCTGCGTACACAGACGGCGCGGCACGCTCGGAGTGCGCGCCCAGTCAGGCTGAACAGCGGCGATTTTCTGTGGCGCTTCCAACATTCGGGCGGCGGCTCCCCGAGAACGTTCATAGACCGCATTTATTTCCATTCTATTCAGTTCTCATTTCTATTCTATGAAACGCCACGTATATCATGGATCCGCTCCGACCGGTCTGCCGAGGGTCCGATCTGCACCCGGGCTCCGAGACAAACAAGGGCCGCGCGCCGCCCCCCGCCGCCTCCATCTCGGTGGCGGGGAGCGGCGGGGAGCGGCGGGGTCTTCCCCCGCTTCCCCGGCCGCGGCTGTGGTCGGTGCACGGCAGACAGGCCGCCGCCTCGGGCGGTCCGCGGTCGCCGATGTGCCGTGACCCGTGCGACCCGACCCGACCCGACCCGACCCGGCAGCGCTCACCCCCGAGCGCGCCGGGCCAGCGTGCCGCCGCCGGCCACACGGACGAGAATCGGCGCCGCCGAGGGGCGGGGGGACAGAGCGCGAGCCGTGCTGCGCCGCCGACGGCCAGCTCCACCCCCACCTGAGCACGACCGGATCCTGACCCAAGCAGTAACACCGGGCCACTGTTTCGGATCTGACTGTTCAGGGCAAATTCACTTACTGCACACACATATATACATATACTACAACTACGCGCATACAATTCACAGTTTATATAGCTCCTGAAGGAAGAGACGCAAACAAAAGCAAGCGCCGACTCGCAGCCACGAATAAATCAAGTCTTGCGAACATGACGTTACTGCAATCTTGCGAGAGTCTCCCGAACATGACGTTGCTCCGCTCTTGCAAGAGCCGCAGGCCGCTAGACTCCACGTGCTTGACGAAACGGCGGAAGCCCGTCGGTCCCCGGCCCCTTCCACCCCGCCCATCTGGCAATCCTCCGCCATCCGGCCGGCCGCTTCAAATAAACAGGGCGTTGAGTAACGTCCGCCGGGCAACCGCTGCAAAAAGCCATCCGGACCCGGCAGCTGTCACGTGACAGTCGGGGCCGGACAGCGGACTGTCACGTCGGGACAAGGCAGCTGTCACGCCACAGTCGGGACCGGACAGCAGACTGCCGCGTGACAGTCGGACCGGACAGCGGAGTGCCATGTGACAGCCGGGAACGGCCAGCGGACTGTCATGTGACAGTCGGGACCCGGCAGCGAACTGCCACGCGACGGCCGCGGCCTGGACCCCGACACGACGGTGGTCTCTCAGCAGCTCACAGGTCCCATCCCAGTTCGACGGAGATTTCGCTCCACATCCTGCCACGGCCAGCATCGCCGGGGGTCGCGGTCGGCCAGCAGCAGCCAGTCCCATCCGGCTCCCTGTTTTGCCAGGCGGCCACCGACGCTCGGGGGTCGCCAGCGTCCAGCACGCGGCAGGTGACCGTCACGGCTCGGCGGCCGGCGCGGTGGCTGGCGCTGCGGCTGGCGCCGCGGCTGACACGGCGGCGCCCGCGGTCAGCGCTCCCGCCCCCCGACACGGCACGGCACGGTGCGGTCCGTCGCCGCCGGCCCGGCCCAGCCCTGAGCACGCGGTGCCAGCCGTGCGCCGCCGCAGGGCAGGAGACGACCGCAGTGGCGGCGATGCACGATGCGCGGCACCGGCTGCCGCCAGCGGCTCGCGGCCCAGTGGACGACGCAGCCCTTTGGGACCGCCGGTTGCAGGAGACGCGAGGCAGCAGAGCACGCGCTCGCGGCACCCCACCGAGTCACGTGACGCGCGCGGCGGACCAGGGCGTTACGTAACGGTCCGCGAGCCGTCGGTATCTGTCTGGCGCGCCGCTGGAGCGGACGTCAGACGCCCGGTCGTCGCGTCACGTCGCGTCACGTCACGCGTCTGCACCCTGAGACATGTCAAACGAGCTCCAGGCACCGCCGCTGGCCGGCGACCCGCCCGCCCGGCAACGCACAGCGTACAGGAGCCGCTCCGGCCGACTGTCTCGACGCCGGCGACAAAAAATAGCAGGGCAATAACCTCTTGCCCCCGCTACGACTGGGGAGGGCAGCGCATGATAAAGCTCGACCTGACAGAGCAACAAACCAACACCAAAACAGTGAAAACGGGTTAATGTGACTGTATTCACATGCAAATAATTAAATAAAAAGTAAACCGGGAACTAATCGTTATCTCCAGTCAGATGCAAAACTGGTGCAATGTCATCATGAAACCTATGCCGAAATCCGACAGCCGACTTTTGTAGTGGACGGAGAAGCCAAACGCGGCATTGGACCACCGCGAAGGATCCTAGAAGTTGTTATCATCAGGGCTTTACCGTGGGGATCGAACCCACGTGCCTCTGGTTTCCCCGACACGCAGCTTAACCACCTTGCTACCGGTGGATCACGTGTAGAGAAACCTCACCAGCAATGAGGCGCCACGCATCCTCATCGCCACATCACTTATAACTACGCATGATGTCATCGCTTAAGACGGAAGGCGGTAAACAGAGGGATGCGGGATCACTCAATATAGCAATGCACCAAAGAAAAGGGAGATGGTTGCGCTGAATGTTTAATAAGGAAAGAAACACATCCGGCAATTTGATGTGTTTTCCCGGATGCGCCGCCCCGGTACACAAGATCTGATGCGTGATGAGGGCGTGCCTCCCAGCCGTGATCCGTTCGCCTACTGCCGTCTCTCCGGTTCAGGAGCCCGTCCGCAGCGACCGAGCTCCTCCAGCCGGGGCGGCGCGCTGACCTCACCTGCGGGTTCATCTGCGAGGACAGCACCTCCACCAGCTCCGGGATGAACTCGTCCACCAGCTCGTCGCACTCCTTGGCGATCAGCCGGATCGGCAGCAGGTTGCACGAGCCCTCCAGCACCTCCTTCAGCTCCTCCTGCCGGGACGGAGATGCCCGCCGGGTAAGAGTCTATTCAGAATCAGAGCATGCCGGATCGGAGTCTAATCAGAGTCAGAGCACGCCGGATCAGAGTCTAATCAGTTAGAGCACGCCAGGTCAGAGTCTATTCAGATCAGAGCACGCCGGGTCAGAGTCTATTCAGTCAGAGCATGCCGGGTCAGAGTCTATTCAGTCAGAGCATGCCGGGTCAGAGTCTATTCAGTCAGAGCACGCCGGGTCACAGTCTAATCAGAGTCAGAGCACGCCGGGTCACAGTCTATTCGGCACGATGAACTGGGAGCGGCCGTGGCGGTTTGTTGGTGCTCGACTACAGATGCTGTTCGCGGACAAACAAACTCTCACGATGATGAGGCCAGCCACTGATGCATCCGTTAGTCCCCCCGGGTTCGGTGCAGCGACCGCTCACCTCAGTTGTCGCTGTTTTCCCGTAATTTTTGACAAGCGGTGATTATTCCATAGCAGTGTTCCATGTCAACGGTGCGTGGGGCACGTAATGGCGTAATGCGTTGGAATGGGGGGATGGGGATGGGGGCAAATCATGCGTAAATGCTCGTAATAGTAGCCAGCGACGGGTAGTGTTTACCGCCAAGGCACTGACACAATCCTTCCGAAGCGTGCGCAGCGCACTGCTCCCCCCCCCCCCCCTCGCTATCCGTTCCATTGGTGGTCCAATGGAAGCCGTGTGGTTAACCGCAGACCGCCAATGACGGCCGTCAAGCGTCATTAACGCCCGTCAGGCGCCGCCCAAGGTCACCTTGAACGGCCCCAGGGGCCGATGCTGACGCTTCTGCCGTCGTGTCGCCACGCGGCTACGCAAGCAGAACTGTCGCCGCGGACCGCAGATACGGCACGGCAGCCGGTCAAACGCGCTCGCTGCCAGCGTCCGGGGCGGGCAGCCCTCGGCAGACATTTTGGAGCGACGTGGCCAAAGGAGGCAGCGCAAGCAGGTCACCGGGCCGACCCTTGGTCGCCGCAGCAGGTCACCGGACCAACTCTTGGTCGCCGCAGCAGGTCATAGGGCCGACCCTTAGTCGCCGCAGCAGGTCACCGGGCCGACCCTTGGTCGCCGCAGCGGGTCACCGGGCCGTCGCGCCCGGCGCTGAGTCCCCCCCCCCCCCTCTACCCCCGAGCACCGCGGGAGCGGGGCCGGAGTCCACTGCCCCTGAAGCCGAGGAGGGGGGGCCTCAGTCCGGCGGGAGGCACAATAGACCAGTCTGCGGAGGCACCTGGCAGGCCAGCAGCACCGCAGCGGAAGAGCCACACTTTTGATGCCACCCGCCACCGTCGGCAGCCGGTCTACGCGGACCCCGCTGCTCTAGGGCACCTCTAGAGTGTCCGCGGACCCCGCTGCTCTAGGGCACAGCCAGCGGCCGCTCATTAAATACTGCCACGATCTTCCCGTGTCAGTGAGGCTACCGGTGATGACACCAAGATCTACAAATATTGTTAGACGCGCACAGATCGCAGAGGTCTTCAAACATGGCAGTCTGAGGTCGGATGGTGTTTCAACGCGGGTAAACAGCCTAGTCTGCTGAGAGAAGCTGAAAAACTTGTGTCTTTCGAGGTCGAGGGCACGTTCCCAACTGGTATCCACGGCAGGCTGCAAGTTTTTCATAAACAGAGCAAGTTTTTTGAGATGGTGGACTAATTCATTCACACGTGTCAATAAATGCTCACCCGCTTTGCTACCCACTAACTGACAACGACCAGCACGCCAGCGCTCTCGTTGCAGCGGTGCCGGACACGCCGTCTGTTGAACGAGCAACCATGCCTGTCCCAATAGGGCACGCAGCATGGCGACTGTTGCCTACCACAGCTCTGGACAAACCGGCTAACGCGCCAGCGAACAAAACCCACCTCGGTGTACAGCAGGGTGTCGTGACACACCAGCCTATCCCACCCACATCTGGTCTGCTTGAGCATGTGACATGTGGGCGCAAAATGACCACAGCAGTCGGCGCGCCCTAAAGCTCCAATCAGCAACAAGAGCCTGTGACGTGGCACCTCGACTGCGACCGTGCGGGCTGCCAACCGCCCGACCAGAGGAGGGCAGTGCAAGCCTCACCTGGGTCTCATTGCTGTTAAGCTGGTCACGAGCCTCCTTCACCATGTCCAGGCAGATGTGGCACACATCATCATTGTCCTCTGGCAGGCTCATGTAGTTCCACACCTTGTCGATGCACCAGGAGGTCATGCCACATTCAGCTGACTTGCTGCAGGGGAAGGTGTGTGGAGTGAGTTAGTGCTGGATGTCAGGTCAGCAATGTCAAGAACAAACAGCTGAGGTCTTCAACACTGACCAAAATCATTCTGCAGTGAGCATAAATAAATTCAAAAGCATGCTATCACTGATGGTTCATGTTGTTGCATAATCAGGTGACCTAAAGCCATGACATGTTATGCATTACAAACAAATAATGTGAGCTGAACAAGCTCCATCTGCTGATGCATATCATCATTTGAAGTTACAGCAAAAATGTGATTTGACATTGCTTGACACACCCTGGCAGTCCAATCACAAGAAGAAACTGGAAAAACTCATCAGAATTTTTAAGCAAAAGACAAAAACAACTATTAAATGTTATCATATAATTTGGCTGGTCACTGCTGGTTTAATCATTGATTCTGTCCTCAAAAGCACACAAGCAATAGAAGTGTCCTAAAAGGATGAAAAGTGCAGTCTTTGCCACTGTAGTAAGTTGATAAGAAATTTAGAACCCTATCATGCTTGAACATTTGAATTCTATATTCCTATTACTGTGTAAAGGCATCAGAAATCAATTGATAAAACATTAGAGAATATCTTAATGTCATTTCATGGCATGAACATTCCCATACTCAGTTTTGAAAACAGGCATACAAATAAATAATATCCTTATATATGTTAGCAATCAGCAAGCTTTACTTAGTCCATGATGTCTGAGAAGACATCAAAAAATACTGTAACATTATGCACAACATATTTTGAACAGTACATTCACAAATCTAGCCACCCTGCTCACTATCCTGTCATGCAACCAAATCACCATTACCTGATATGATCACACCAGTATGATGGACCAAATGTGCACTTTTTGGATCCGAGTCTGTGTTGCACCCGGCCAGTTTCTCCTCGGGAAACAATGGTAGGGCCACACACAGCAGCTGCAGGAACAGAAGAAACCAATATATGTAAGGCATGCACAAATGCTAATGAACATTGAATGACAGCACAGAGCTGTGTAAATCACATCCTATATGTCATATTTATGTTTCATGAGTATCACAAATATTTATTTCCATTTTGTGTGATGAACTTCAAATAACAGTAAGATATTCCAAATTGCATGGCTTGAATTTTTAAAAAATTATTTATGAAATTTTATAATTGGTATTTTCCATCACATTCATATAAAGAAAACACACATGAGCACAGCTACCATTGCTCACAAATAGCAAATGAGTCAACACCATGGCATGGTATATGCATATCGTGTGCCATAAACATATGTGTCACACCACGTACATGGTGTGCTCAGTCTGTGTCAAATGCAGTTGTCAGAATGTAAAACTTTTCACCCACCTCCCACCAGCGTGGCGAGAATCAGCACTTTCAACGCCATCGTCTTGCCTCCGACCCTCCGATTAAAAACGATGACCTTGTTCGCACCCAGTTATCTTTACCGAAGAAACTGCGTAACGATTTAAGAACGGAATGCCCTCAACACCCCACTCCTCACACACCCGCCACTCTAAGCGAAGTGAAATAGCTCTTCAGTGCTCACAAAGAAACGACGCCACACACACTGAATCACCGCTGGTGCCAGCGCGAAGTTAGCTGGAATACCAGCTGAACAGTGATCACGTGACGTAAACAAAGATGCCTGGCACTTCACAGTCTGCAACGCCCTCTAATGACAAAACACTCAAACTGTCCTTACGCCAGTCTGCCACCGAGTTCTTAAGTGCGCAAGCTCCCTGACTGATGGAAGAATATAAACACGAAATACAAAAACTCAGACTTACGCTTAAGGTCTAAAAAATCATGACTTTATGAGGTATAGTAGGTCTGCTGTAAGGTGACTGGCCTAATATGGAGGCGTTCGAGACCTCCCCAGCGCACGGTACCCGAGACCTCCTAGGTGTGCACGTGTGAAGAAATGACATGTTTACGTACGTGCCGCAAACAGCCACTTAATCAGTCGCTCAGCAAAAAAAACAAACAGCTATCTCTTGGTGATGCGTATGCACGTCTCTCCCCAGCCTAGCATTTCTGGACCCATGCGTACCGCGCCCATCTCGGGCACCTCGCACCGTCGGCAGATTCCGCACACCCCCTTCATAGCCCTGCCGCCTTGTATCAGGGGTCTAGTGGTGACGAGACAAGTCCCCTAAACTTGGTCGAATCTTCACCATTGCGGCATTCGGCTCGCGTGGAAGGAGGCGTCGAACGAAGCATGGAAAGACTCGTGTGACACCGACCCTAGCTTTTAACCCGCAGGACAGACCTTGAATCAAGGTGGCATTGAGGGTAATGGTAATGATGATGGGGAGGCCACACCTACTTATGTTGAGATGAACACGACTTAAACCCTTTTTCTCAAAGAAACGTTTTGGTCGGTTGACTTGACCAACTCACTCCCAACCTTCTCTACCCATGGAATACCTTTCATACAATTATTCAACAAATAGGCAGATACTGATCGCCCATCTGCAATCTCTCCACCGGTATGGCGATTACTGCCATCGCTGGTTTGGGTTTTGGAGGCGTCGACTGTGTAGCGAGCAACTTATTTTAACCGACGGATTACTTAAGCTTTTTGTCTCACAAAAACTTTGCACGATTTGAAGCATCGCAATAGGCGCCGTTCCCCACATGTCCGCCACATCCAATTTTTTTACCGCGCTGTTAAACGTCGCACATGTAATGCCCATTACAAAATCCAAGCTAAAATCGCAGCCGCCTGATTTACCAGCTTCGATACGTTCCATTGCTACCGACGCTGCTGCCAACATGGCCGCCTTCCCGATTTCAACGCACACAACCCCAAAACACCACAAACTGAACGAACCGTTTATTGTGGACCACACATGCGCTGGAACCGAAGGCGACGAACACAAAACAAATGGCACGCGCGCACCCGCCTCGAACAGGCGACCGACCAGCGTTAGCTTGCGGTCGTCGACCGTCGCAGACCGGGAGCCCGCGGCAGCGGAAGCGACACCAGGCGACCCCAACGGCAGGCCGATGGGAGGTCACACCACCGGCCAGATCGAGAGTCACATTAACATCGCGGGAAAACGCGGCGCCGAAAGAACGGGCATGCGCACGTGAAACAGGTTTGCCGCACAGGTTCCGAAAGTTCCACCACTGTGTCATTGTTAACGGCGCCGTCCACGCTCCGCGGGTAGCTAGGCGCGGGTCTGGAGCACTTCCATTGCGATGAGGGCGCACCCAGCGGCTCGCAAAAGCAACAGATGGAGCGAAACCGCTTCCTGACTTCGAGCACACGCTGTCTCCACATGACAGACCGCCGCCGCAGCAGCACGGCTATCCCTCGCGCGCTGCCAGCCGGACCAGCCGGGGGCAATATCACGCGCGATCAAAGGGGAAAATGGATAAAACCCTGCAAGTCGGGGACAATCTCACACATGAAGAGAACGAGGAAAATCGATAAAAGTGGCTTATGACTCTGCCCATTCTGCCAGGAGCTGCAGAAAATATATTGACTGGCGCAGTCGCTCCAAGAAACCGACGGGCCCTGCTGGGCTCTCACCAGCGTCGACATCTGCGCGTACACTGGAAAAGCGCAAGTACCATAAACAGTCGCCAGGTGGCTAAGGGAGCTGAACACCAGCGCATGGCGGTCGGGAGGACCACGGGGGAACCCCGCCACAGACGAATACAGAAACTTAACACTACTGTACAACATGATTCAATGCCTTCGCTCTGACGGACGTGTGCGGAACATTGGACACATCAGGACAGGTACCAAACAGGCACGGCACAGGCCGACAGTACTTGAGATAGCAATTTGGCGGCGCAGAAAAAAGAAATGAGCGTAAAACATAATTCGGCGGAGTTCAGTCCTTTCGCTGAGGTTTGACATTTAAAATTACTGTCATATGAATTCAGCAGTCTAACTGATCAATTGCATTTACCAATGTAGGATAATTTCGGTCCCGCACAGTGGCGCTCGCACACCAGAAGCTGAACGGAGCGGCAATGTGCCAGCCCTCCGCTGGGCCTGCGAGCCGGCGGTGCAGGCCACCACGGTGAGTGCAGGCGCCTACGGGTGTTCGGTCAGCGCGTGGAGAGTCGGGGCGGCGCCGGGCCGTGCCCGGCCCGCGGCGGGGATCGAAAGGATGCCGAGGCAGGCAAGACGAGGGAGGGCGCGAGCGCCAGGGACGGAAAGTCCCGCATCCCTTTCTATGGTCCAGGTCCAGGCGAGTTTGACAAGCAGCGACAGTAACCCGCCCACGTCAGCACTGAAACCTGCCTCACGACCTCGGCCGCGTACAGCAATCTGCGTTTAGCAGAATCCACCCTGAAAAGCTTGGTCTCACTCAGCTGAAAAGGGAGCAGCGAACCATTTATCGCCATGCAGATGGACATTCTGTCATGCTGCAAGCAGCCATAACTGTACACAATAGGGTGACATCTATATAAAGTCTTACAAGTTTTAAGTAAGAATCTATACCACGCAGACTTCACGCACACCCGAGACTACGCGAGCCTCTGTAAAGAAATCTAATGTAAGCGCTAAACGCAGCTTAATTGTCCGGAATATTGCATCGTCTACAGGCGACAGCTTGATGTCATGGCAGTCCAAGCCCAGGCAGTTCTGGGATAGCTTCACAGCACGCTAGTGAAGTGACGTCACTATCGGAACCTCTGCCGCGGTCCCCGTACCTGTGGTCCGAGCCCACGGCCGACCCCACCCCTCCCCCTCCTCTCTCGAGACCTACGACACCATGGCGCCGGGCCGCAGGCCAACAGCGGCGTGTCGACACTACTGCCACCTGTTGGTGATACCAACGGCGTCAGTGCTGCCGGCGGTCGCTAGGCCTCGCCCCGACCACACACGAAACCGGAAAGCCTTTGGCGCGATGCCAGAGGCGTCGTGTGGCACCTAATGCGGCGTCTTTGATCAGGATGACAGGGTAGCTAGACGATGACCATCCACTTCAAAACACACGAATCATTCTTACACGTAGATTTCAAAATGAAGGAATGAATGAAATAAAATGGGTGAAATGGACCCGGAATTAATGGAATGGACACCAGCCCAGCCAGTTCCGCGACGGACGACCGCCTTGGAAAGTCTCGCGCAGTTGTAAGGGAAATGACGGGGAGCATACACACAACAGGAAATGACAGCTCTCAGCTGTCATTTTGACAGCCGAGAGCTGTCATTTGTCAAACAGCTACAAAATAGCCATCTGAGGTACCGCGGGCCGGCCAGGAATGGTCTGCACTACGCCAGACCTTGATGCCGGTCCTGGCTAGGCCGAACCAGAGCACACGCGGCAAACCAACATATGTACAAGTAGAGCGTATCGCAAATCGCAGATACTGTGTGCGCGAGATACTCCAATGTGTGTAATAGAGTGGCTACACACTTGACCTGTCTGGGGCCTGGTATTGGTCCTGCCTCGAGTCCATTCCAAGACGCCTCAGCTCCGCATGCTTCCCAGAACGCTCACCAGAGGCCCGGTTCGACTCACCAGAGGCCCGGTTCGGCACACCAGAGGCCCGGTTCGACTTACCAGAGGCCCGGTTCGGCACACTAGAGGCCCGGTTCGCGTCACCAGGAGCACGGTTCGGCACACCAGAGGCCCGGTTCGCCTCACCAGGAGCACGGTGCGGCTCACCGGAGGCCAGGTTCGGCTCATAAGAGGCCCATTTCCTCCCACCCAAGTCACACATACATTGACGGGCCCATCAGTCCACCTGCGGACCCGGGTGCGCACAGCCCACCCTCGAGGGAGCGGAGGGGAGAGAAGTGGAGGGGTCAATGTACGCGTGATGTCCAGCCGCGGATGGCGGTCACACCTGAGCGGTATGATCCGGCTAGACTAGGACAACGGGTCCACGATGGTAGCTACCGCGTCCGTAATTGTGCCAGTTGATGACAACCGTAATTGTGCTAGTTGATGACAACCGTAATTGTGCTAGTTGATGACAACCGTAATTGTGCTAGTTGATGACAACCGTAATTGTGCTAGTTGATGACAACTGGAAGAGGTTTACAGACTTTTATCACGCATGGGACAACGCAGCATGGAACGTTGCTGCGCGGGCAAAATCACACGGACAAAATCACCTCTCAGGGTCGATAACACAAAATTATTTCACTAGGAATAGATGCAGTGCAAGCTGTGAAAAGGAATGTGTGGGTCCCGCTGCTCGTGCCTTGTCTGAGTATGGGAAAGCTAACAAAATAAAAGCTTAAATCTTACCACATTTCGAAGCAACGCAACTTTAAAAGCTAAACTTGAAGTGTGAATTAACAATAATGTTAACTAGACATACCGCCAACCCAAGCATGCTAGATTTCATGCATGAAAACAGGACACAACCATCCAAAATCATTTGAGCAAGTATCATAACATGATTAACGTCTACCTATGCAAACAAAACGTCGCATTTCTCATGACAACGTCCGAAGTTTTTCGAGACTCAAAAGGAAACTTAAACGGTTCGGCCATCAGGAGACCTTGAAATCTATCCCTCGGCTGCTATCGCCGCCTAGCGGTCACCAGCATCACTCCAGCTTTTTGGCGGTGCCGCTGGCAGCAGCTCGCCCCGGCTTCTTCTTGCTGAGATAGGCCTTGTTGAAGAAGTGTGCGAAGAGGACGAAGTAGCTGAAGTACATCATGAGCGAGAGCTTGATGTTGAGATCCGAGACCTCGCACTCGCCTCCGTTGGACTTGACGTGGTAGGCCCAGAGATTGACCAGACAGCCGACCACCATCTGCGCCAGCTGCGAGGCAGTGATGACGACCGAGATCCACCTGCGGCAGGGCAACCAGTCACCGTCCTGTCTCAATGTGCTCACCATCCTGCCGCGCCGCGTCCACCGTCTCGTCTCCTGGCCGCCGTCCTGTCTCCTGGCCGCCGTCCCGTCTCCTAGTCGCCGTCCCGTCTCCTGGCCGCCGTCCCGTCTCCTGGCCGCCGTCCCGTCTACTGGCCGCCATCCCGTCTCCTAGTCGCCGTCCTGTCTCCTGGCCGCCGTCCCGTCTCCTGGCCGCCGTCCCGTCTACTGGCCGCCGTCCCGTCTCCCAGTGGTCATCACATTGGTCGGCAGCGGACGGCAGTGTCAGGGTCGCAAAGTTCAGCCATTTAGGTGCCAGGGAAACCGCCATTTGTCTTTGCTATTGCACACGTGCTGGCTGTTGTTCCTCCCCTTGCTCACGATCGACCAATCAGCATCGAGCCGGATGGCAGTCAACCCTGCGACCATGCGGCCCCGGGCAAGGCAAGCCAGGCGGGCAGGTCAGGATGTGACGGATGACAGAGGCCAGACTGCCTGATTAATGTTAGCTTCTCTGGCACCCAACTGGACGAATTTAGCCACGCTGTCTAAATCTTTGAGGCGAGAGCTGACCAGGAGGCAGACCGGGATCACACACGCGCTGATAACTGTCACGGAGCAAAGATAACAGCGGGAAATGACGGACCGGCCGGTGGCGATAAACCGCAGATTGGTGCGGAAGGGCGGGCAACGCAAAGACGAAGACCAAGAGTCATCAGCTGGAACACCAATGAAGAATCAGGACGCTTCTGAGCAGGAATGAAAGGATAAGAACGACACGGAGCCTACTGTTGCGGTAATTCATACAATGATACAAATTGCCTCACGACGGTGAGATGACACAGACGGTGTAGATGTGACAGACAGATGACGTGAATAACCAACTTAATGGCTCATGAAGGCAATTGCAAAAACTGCGAAAAATCACCCGCCAAGAAAACCGCTGACGTCATTGCATCATCACAGTATTCACCATGGCAACGAGGCAAAGCGTGACATCAAAGCAAACTTTGCGCGCAGAATCAGTGACCTTCAGCTAACCTTGGCACGCGGTACCGGAGCGCCTTGAAGGCGTAGTAGCTGTACATCATCGAGTGGACGAAGTAGTTCATGCTGACGAACCAGCGGGCCGTCACGATGAAGTCCGAGAAACTGTAACGGCGGGGGAACGGCATCAGCCAACAGTCTGTGTCGTCAGCACACGGACAAACATACACACACCTGCACGCACACGCACACACACACGGGACGGTGGATGAATGCAATCTTTACCCAGAGATATACCCAGGGATCCTTTTCAACCCCCCCCCCCCGCCGTCTTTTACCTATGGTCATCAGCGCACGGACCGGGGTCATCAGCAAATGACCTGCAGTCATCAGGATATGACCTCGCATTATGAGCACGCGGCCCGGGGTCATCATCACACCGCCTGGGGTCATCCGCACACGTCTGGGGCCGGTCAAGCGGCGGCACGCTAGGCACTCCGTGACCCCTGCCGAGGCCGTTGGTGGAGGGCCGCCGGTCGCGCAACGGCCGGCAGACGGTCCGGCTGCCGCAGACAACGGTGCCGCAGACAGCGGTGCCGCAGGCAGCAGTGCCGCAGAGAGGTGCCGCAGACGGCGGTGCCGCAGACAACGGTGCCGCAGACAGCAGTGCCGTAGGCAGCAGTGCCGCAGAGAGTGCCGCAGACAGCGGTGCCGCAGACAGCAGTGCCGCAGACAGCGGTGCCGCAGACAGCAGTGTCGCAGACAACGGTGCCGCAGTGCCCGGCTAGCCTCCAGTGCCCAGTTGCTCGCCTTTTTTTGGGAAGGGTAATGCTTCCCAGCAAATGGCGAGTCAACGGCTGCATAGATCAAATCCTTGATCAACGATTGGTCCGTCTTGCCGGCTTTCACGCTCATTTCCGTCCGTCAGACACCAGGTTTTTTTCTCAAACATATCTTGAATCAAGCGTTGAAGACACCGGCCAGCTCAGCCTAAACAGCACTTCACCCTTCACACGCGCTGGGTGGTGCTAATCGTTGGGTATGTCATGAGCGCCGACGCGTGTTAAGCGGGACGCCTCAGGCGGAGTCAACGCCCCGCCGCTGAATAATACAGGCTTCCCACCCCCCATCAGCGCCGCCCCCAACAGGCGGGCCAGCCGTGACCGACCGGCAGCTGCTGGGGCAATCTTCGCCGCCATCAGTCCACATGTAACAAGACACGGACGGAGCATGCTGTCGCTGGCGGCGGCGGTGATGCTGGTCGCACTGTCGTCACCCCCCCCCCCCCCCCCCCGTGGGGGCAGCGTCGGAGTCGGTTTGTCATCACGGGTGATTATGGCGTCGAAGGTGGTAACGTTGTCAGGCGTGTGGCAACAGCTTCTCAGGCGTCGCCGTTTAGCAAATGTCGGATGTCGTCAAGTGCAGAAACAGTGTGAAAGACGGCGTCGCTGTTGCCGCTTCAGGAACGGGTTAGAAATGGCAGCCCGATGCGAACTCGAGATAGTCCAGCAACTTCAATACAAATTGTGTCGGATTACAGATGGTGATCCGGTAAACCGAATCACTATCTGCAATCTGACGTATACCTCCCCCCCCCCCCCCCGGTGTAGGACCTCGGCTGTGCCGGCGGCACAAGTGGGACCCTGGAACTACACCCCACTGTGCGACGCGAACCCCGTCTCCGGCTCTGAATTCCAAAGCTGGCCACATGGATGACGTCTAGACAAACCTCGGTGAACCCCCTGACCCCACGTCCATTATTCACACCGATCGCCCAACCGCAGGCGGGAGCCGGCCCCACAAGGGACTGTCGCTGGTGCAGCCCGGTGGTGCAGCAGGTGGTGCAGTACGGTGGTGCAGCGCGGTGGTGCAGCTGGTGGTGTCGCCCGGTGGTGCAGACCGGTGGTGTCGCTCCGTGGTGCAGTACGGTGGTGCAGCCCGGTGGTGCAGCCCGGTGGTGTAGCACGTGGTGCAGCGCGGTGGTGTAGCCCAGTGGTGCAGCTGGTGGTGTCGCCCGGTGGTGCAGCCCGGTGGTGTAGCAGGTGGTGCAGCGCGGTGGTGTAGCTCAGAGGTGCAGCTGATGGTGTCGCCCCGTGATGCAGCCCGGTGGTGCAGCCCCGTGGTGCAGCCCGGTGGTGCAGCCCGGTGGTGCAGCCCGGTGGTGTCGCCCGGTGGTGCAGCCCGGTGGTGTAGCAGGTGGTGCAGCGCGGTGGTGTAGCCCAGTGGTGCAGCTGATGGTGTCGCCCCGTGATGCAGCCCGGTGGTGCAGCCCCGTGGTGCAGCCCGGTGGTGCAGCCCGGTGGTGCAGCCCGGTGGTGTCGCCCGGTGGTGTGGCCCGGTGGTGCAGCCTGGTGGTGCAGCTGGTGGTGTCGCCCGGTGGTGTCGCCCGGTGGTGCAGTACGGTGGTGCAGCCCGGTGGTGCAGCCCGGTGGTGCAGTACGGTGGTGCAGTACGGTGGTGCAGCCCGATGGTGCAGCCCGGTGGTGTCGCCCGGTGGTGTAGCCCGGTGGTGCAGCTGGTGGTGCAGCCCGGTGGTGCAGCCCGGTGGTGCAGCTGGTGGTGTCGCCCGGTGGTGCAGCCCGGTGGTGCAGTACGGTGGTGCAGCCCGGTGGTGCAGCCCGGTGGTGTCGCCCGGTGGTGTAGCCCGGTGGTGCAGCTGGTGGTGCAGCCCGGTGGTGCAGCCCGGTGGTGCAGCTGGTGGTGTCGCCCGGTGGTGCAGCCCGGTGGTGCAGTACGGTGGTGCAGCCCGGTGGTGCAGTACGGTGGTGCAGTCCGGTGATGCAGTCCGGTGGTGCACTCCGGTGGTGCAGTCCGGTGGTGCAGCCCGGTGGTGCAGCCCGGTGGCTCCTGTGGCGTCCTGTTGCTGGGCCCGCCGCGTCGGCGGTCGCCGGACGGGGCCGCCGCTGGAATGCGGCGCCCCTCCCCTTCCCCCTGTGGTCCGGGCAGCGGGCGGGCGCCCCGGCTACCCCGCATCGACCCGTCTGGCCGGCGGGCCACACGCCGCCGGGTCACACGCCGAGCAGCCCGGCCGACACCACCTGACCAGGCTGGGTGGGGCCTGCCCGACGCCGGTGCATTAGCCTCGGGGCTCCACACACGCCGAGCAGCCCGGCCGACACCACCTGCCCAGGCTGGGTGGGGCCTGCCCGACGCCGGTGCATTAGCCTCGGGGGCTCCACAAACGCCGACACCGTTCGCCGCCGGTGCTGAAGGAGGGCTGATGGTCTGGGCGCGGCCGATGGGATGGACCCCCGAAACGGAAAACATGGCACTAGGATATGGGGGATTTAAAACAGCTTGGAGTCAGAAAGGTCCTGGATGCTCTGTGCTGTGAGGATAGGGCCGTCGATGCCCGGCGCCGGGCTGCTCGAAAGGCTTTATGATGTCGATATATACAGTCTAACAACGTGTGGTCTTCAAATGTGTTGAGGCGTGCGGTATGCTACATCCCAGTACGGAGGGTAGACTTGCTGGTGCACACAATGCTTGGAAGGAAATTTCCACTTTCAACTTTATATTAGATAATTGGAAATACCATTTTTTCAGTTTCTACACCCATTCGACTATCACGTTGACGGTTGAGGATACCAAAACATCGCTCCTCGCTCATCGCTCCAGAACAAAGTTGGCCTAACGTTATGCTACATGCAAGCATAACGCTAGGCCAAGTTTCCCGATCCATTCGGCATTTTTCGTTTTGTCGACAGTCCGCCCCAATCGTTAACACACTTGTGCCGAATTTTGCCCTTGCCACGTGCCAGTGGGGCGCGTGGGAAGCTGGAGTCCTGTTAGCGCACGGACACCATGACCCATACAAGGCCCGCCCAAATCTCGGGTTGTCCTGCTCCCGTCCCTTCAGACCACACCCGCGTCCCATCTCTCGTCAGCTGTCAGAGCCGGCACAGACCGAGCAGGGTGAGCCAGTGAAGCGACACACACCGCAGGCTCCAGGGCAACATCAGCATCTGCACGCCTCCCACGTCATGCACCATGTTGGAGCGCGGCGGCGGCGGCGAAGGCCGAACGGCATCCGGCCAGAGCGGGGGGGGGGGGGAGGGGGGGGGGGGGCGAAGGGGTGGAAGCTACAGCAGCGAGCGGCAGATCTGTCCCCGCGCAACAGCCCAGAAGCCATCGCGCCACGCCATCAGCGCCAATTATGGCACAGCGTCTGCTCATGCCGGTACGGTCGACCGCAAACCGCAAACGTCTCCGCGCCCCAAGCCCTCGGCAGGTTTTGGCTTCGAAGGCGGTCTTTGTCGCCAGAGTTTTCTCCTTGATCTCAGAATAACAGGGGTTACTGGATGCTCGATGATTGTGAAACTACGCTGCGGAAAAAATCAAATATTCCAGAAATAGTACCACTGTCAAGTGCGTGAGAAGTTACTTAAAGCCAATAATAAACAAAACGACCAACGAAAATTAATACCTCCTCCAGTTAATGGTGGGAAAGCTATCAAAAGGGCATACGAACTTATACCCAAAACACTTTTTTAACATTTGAGATGACGAGGCGCTACGCGTAATAACCATCCATGCAAAAAATTGTGCACGGGAAACTGACGTCACGACAAATACATCCAATGCTCCCTTGAATGCATCTATTATTCTATAGCCTTGGCCGTACCTGACGCCCATTAAAGCGCCGGTATCTGCAGTAGATACCACAGAGCACTTCAGCCGAGCGTGCGGGGCACGTCTGAGCCACTCCAACCTATTTCGGAACCCATCAGAACAGCGCGCTCTGAAGCCATTGGGCTTGATGCCGTTTGATCGCTACTTCGAACTTTGAGCCGCCGCGGCCGGTGGACGCTGCCTCTCACCCAGATTGGGTCAGCGCCGTTCGGCGGTCTCCGGGCGCCTCGATGCGTGGCCGGCAAAACTCACCCGCGTGTTCACGTGGTGACCTCTCGGGAGGAGGGGGGGGGGGGGACACGCGACCTCCCCGTAGCAAATGTAGTTCATGTATTCATATGTCCGCACGTCAATGCCGATAGAAAATCGCGGTAGGCACGTAAAATAGAACTAAACCGGGAAGACGCGATGCTCTTTAACGTCTTGTAACGAAATTCCCTGAGCAGTATCAAACTTTCAGTTGTGTCCCGTTCCCTCCCCCTTCCCCCCCCCCCCCCCCGCTAATGCAAAATCCATCATACGCCCCTGGCTAC